CCGCTCACTCCAGGCGACCTCCTCATCGCCTTGCACAACATAGACTCAATCAAATGTGACATGAAGTCCATCATAAAAGGTCAGTGAGTCCTCAAACATGGCGTGTCGGTCGTGGACAAACAAACTGTTGTCAGCGTTTAATCTTCAGCATCTGCCCGACAGCTACCAACCTCTGCTTCGGCGAGAAGAATGTGTACACATCTGAAGTTTTGGCGGTGGTGATGCAGCAGCTGATGGAGCAGAACCCCCTCCCCATGCTGCTCATGCGCACTGTCATCCAGTCTCTCACCATGTACCCCCGACTGGGCGGCTTTGTGATGAACATCCTCTCCCGCCTCATCGTCAAGCAGGTCAGCAACACTTTGATCTTGCAGGAAACCAGAGAAGATCATCTGCTGAAGCTAATCTTCTTCCTATTATTTCGCCCTGCAGGTGTGGAAGTATCCAAAGGTGTGGGAGGGATTCGTGAAGTGCTGCCAGAGGACAAAGCCGCAGTCGTTCAGCGTGCTCTTACAGCTGCCGCCCGCTCAGCTCACGAGCGTGTTCGAGCGCTGCCCGGAGATGAGGGCGCCTCTTCTGCAGCACGTCCACTCCTTCACGCCTCACCAGGTGACAGCTGCTTCCACATTTACACACCTCTGAACATTTTACTTCACCCTGAACTTCCATTTCAACCCACTTTCTTTTTTTTCTCTCTGTGTACATAGCAAGCGCACATCCCCGGGTCCATCATGGCGGTCCTGGAAGCAAATAAAAAACCAGAGCCGAAGCCTGCAGAGCCGGTCGTAGAGACAGATGTAACAGATCAAGAGCTACAGGTGATTTTTGAATGTCTTGAATTAGGGCAGTTTATAAACATATTGGCCATCGCCAATCTGTAAAAATTACATTTCCATCCAGCACTGCTTCTTTATTTCTGGTCAGCTAGCTTTTACCTCTTGGCTCCATTATCTCAATAATGCAATTAACGTGACATCTTCCTACAGATGGAAGCAGCTCCAGCTCCTTCAGTTGTAGAAGAGGCACCAAAAGAGCCAGAAACAACAGTCCAGCTGGAGCCCGTCACTCAGAAAGATGAAGAAGAGCCGATGGAGCAAGAAGAGTCTGAACCAGCAATACAGGAAGAGACACTTAATATCTCACAGGTAAAAAGGAAACTACGACAAGTTAAAGGCTTTAAAAGCGGCTTCAGCACCACCAATTTAGATTGCAGATAATACAAAAGGTCGGATGTTTGAGGTTTTAAAGTAAATATAAACTGCTGTGAATTGAGGATTTATTTTTATTGTAGTGCATAACTGAATTCAAGTTTGGTTAAAACTGAATGTAAGAAAGCAAAATTTTATTTAAGAGCACAAAGGAAACCTTGTTGCTTGCTTCCAAAAAACAAGCAACAATGAAAAACATCTAAAATAAAAGGAGTGCTAATAAAAAAATAAAGATCAACAAAAGTCCTGAAAAATAAAATAAAACATGCATATAAAACATAAAATTCATTAAAAAAGCAAAAATCTGGTAAAATAATAACTAGAACAGGAAGTAGACCACTGAAAAGGCTAAACAGGAATACCAGCTGTAACTTACTTACAACTCCAGCTCTGGAAAGTCATAAAATTTAGCTCAAATAACCAGGAGTTCTAAAAGTTTGAACGTAGAAAGTTAATATCATCCTGTATATATTCTGAAAGTGTGTCAGCAGGGCTTAAATAATCAAGTTACAGTGAAGTATACAGTTGAGTATCATCGGGATAGTTTCAGTAACACACTTCTTTTAAGTTAAACTGTAGTGGTCCTACAGTTGAACCCTGTGGAATACCACATTTCCATGAGCTAAAATTTGCAAAGGAAAAGCTAAAATCACAGCATTAGCTAAGATAAAATCCAATCCAGTGCTAATCCAGAAAAAGACACTCTGGCACTGTCACAATTTAATCTCATGTCTTTAACAACTGTGACGGTGATGTTTCTTTGCTGTGGCTGGATTCTTAGGGCCCTGCATGCCATTCATAGGTAGTCGTTTAATGCTTTTGATTTTCTCCAGGTGGAGTCGGAGGCTGAGACCCCGGTACCTGAACCAGAACCAGTAGAGGAGCCAATGGAGGAATCTCAGCCCGAACCTTCAGAGGAGCCAGAGCCCGAAAAAGACACTGAAGCTGATGACGTCACAAAGGAGGCCGGAAACACCAGCGAGGATGTAGAATAAGGATGCACTCAGTTTTCAGGATTTCTGTTTTGTATTTTGTATTTGTAGGAAGAATATCAGCTCATTTTGTGTATGAAAGCATTCCACGTCATAATAAGTTGGTAAATAAATCAGCACACTGGTTTAACGTAAGTTTTGACGCCGTTCAATTACTGATCAATGTCATAAATCTGTAGTGCACCTCCCACAGTCCAAAGACATCCATTTGAGGGTTAATTGGCTGTAGGTGTATGTACATCCTCTCTATACGCTTCCACTCCAGCTCAAACACATTAAAGGTACTTTCAGTAACCACTTTCTGCAAAATGTAGCTAAAAATTCAACCACCAGGGGGCATTGTTTACCAGTTTGTTTGCTTTTTAAAAAAATACATTTAGCTGTTGAATTTTCTCTTTTAGCCTTTATTATGTTTCCTTATGAGGTCTTTTAAATACATGTGTGATTAAATATTGTGGGACCTTTGAGGGAGAATTGAGGAAACATCAACATCTAACATCCACATCTTGATCTCTAAAGAGCTGCATTGGGTGTTTCGATTTAAATAACTGCTGTAGGTAGTGGTTTTGTGGCGTAATAACATCTCTAGAGATCTCTCAGTGTGGGCAGCTGTGCGAAGAAGCTTCCAGGCGAAAGCAGAGCTGATGTTCCGATATGCTTTGAAGGTAAAGGATTTAACCACTGCAGTAAATCTAATTGACCACTAGATGGAGACAAATACACAAGTTCTTTATCTGGGTTTGGATAAAAAATGTAATAAAAAATTTCTCACTGGATCTCTGATACAAAAGCATAATTAACTCAGTAGATGTTGAAGTTTATCTCAGCTTAAAACATCAACATTTTACAGACTTGTGATTAACAGGTATTTATATAATGAGCATGTCCTGATTAATCCTCATTTCTGACTCCAGTCGTGATCATAATTTAACTGGACTGAATGTTTGATTTAACTCATCAGGAACATGTTTTCGGAAGCCAAAAACCAAAGGGAGACGTGGCTGTCTTCTCATTGACTTCTACAGGATCAGAAGTCTTACAGCGTCTGACGAGTCGCTGCCCCCTGCAGGCCATTAGAGAAAATGTAGCTGGCTTCTCTTTCATGTCTGAGTTTTAAATTCATTTCCAAGGTGTAATAAAAAGTTGGCTTCATTCTCCTCTGTCCTTTTTGATGTGGTCATCCATGCTGTGAAGATCCTCACACTCCCTGCTTAGAACTCCTCTGTACACCTCGAATCGATGGTTCAGATCTTTCTGAGTGTGGATTTTGAACTTTGACCCTAACGCCCCGTCAGCTGAAGTGACTCCGTAGAAAACCCTACCGATCCGAGAGTGAACGAGGGCCATGGCACACATCACACAAGGTTCCCTCGTCACGTAAAGGTCGTACCCGGTGCAAATGTACGGCTGAGTGCCGTTCTCTATCTGGGCCTCCGTTTGAACTGAGCTCGCTGAAGTAAACCTGCAGGCGGGGTAACTGTCAAAACCATAAAACCCACCGCCCTGACTCCGAGCTACAAGGTCGATGACGACCATGACAGCGTGATGAAGAGGGTGCTTGCGTCTGCAGTCGTGGCCGACTGCAATGATCCTCTCCGTCTTTGGGTCGACCACCACAGCCCCGATGGCCTCCATCCCCGCCACGCCTCCTTCTCTGGCTGCAGTCACAGCGGACGCCATGTAGGCGTGTATCCTTTCCTTCTGATGGTGGCTGAAGAGCTCTCCTCTCAGGGCGACTGTCACCTGCTTGTCCTCGTGAAAGGACGTGGGCCAGTGTTGGCTCGCTAACTCAAACTGGGGTCGGGTCAAAGGGGCACGAGCGGGAACCTTAACCACAAAAGGCTCGCCCAACCCGTTGCAATTTATTCCACCTGAGGGCAGCAGAGAGTCAATGCTAACCACCTGCATTTTTGGCACATCACTGACGAGGCACATGAGGACTTCCAGGGGGTGGGGTCTCTCGCTGCACGGCCGCACCCTCTTGACGTGCTGAAGGCCGCTCAGCGGACAGAGGCTGTTCAATTCCCTGACGAGCCGAGACGTCTCCTTCTTGTCGAGGATGGGCGCAGCGTACACCTCCACCAGCTCGACATCCTGCGACTGCTCATCTGACAGGACTGGAAGGGCGACCCAGGAGTCGACATCACACGGCGAGCCTTTCCAGCGCTTCATCGGCGGCTCTGATCTCCCGGTATCGTCCTGTCAGCACATGACAAAACCTTCAGTTACTCATCAAACCTGGCTTCCAGCAGGGACGGCTCTCCCAGAAATCATGTTTGCAGGGTTTCCCTCCAACCTTCAATGTTTTAACCTTCTCAGTGTGGTGGGAGTGAAGATGGAGATATTGACATTTTTTCCCATAAATCAAGCCATGTTTATTAAAAAAAAAACTGCAAATCTTTATTTAATAAATAATTAAAATGAAGATTATTAGTATTGATTCAAAACCATCCTCCCAAGTTGAGCTTATGACAAATATAAATAACAGGGGAGTTGCACTTTAAAGTAAATATGTAAACACTGCCCCCTGGTGGACAACCTACATATGACATCATCTCCATTATGTAGTTTCTAACTAGGAAACACACCTGTATACACGAGACAAATTAACAGGTACCGTGAGGGGTTTTGTATTTCTCTTATCTCTCGTTGATCAACAATAAAACATGAAAACTCAAACTGACGTTCATTCACATTTCTTCATTTAAGCAAAACTGTGTTTTTATGGATTCAAACCACCTCGAGTATCTCTGGGTCCACGTTACTCTGATCTCCAAAATGTTTCACTCATTCTGTTTAACTCCCTTTACGTGGTGGCGTAATAGCCAAAACTTGAAGTCATGCTTTTCTGATCAAGTGTTTCACACTGTTGTGGAGGAACTTTGACCCACCCTTTCTTTACAGCGTTGGCTTCAGTTCTCTGGTGTTTGCAGACATTCATTTATGCACAGACCTCTAACACTGCTCAGATGCAGCTTTGCTAACTTAAGCCGTGCTGCCATGTTCTTTTTAGAGAGAAAAGGCTTTCTCCAGGTAACCCTTCCAAACAAAGCATATTTCTTCAGCCTTGAACTTTAACCTTTAGCTGCCTGAAGCCGGTTGGGTCCGACATGGAGCTCTTGGATTTTTTTTCTCTAAGTATTTCTCAGTCTGACCTTGGAGTGAATGTGTTGGGGTATCTACTCCTGGGAAGATTGTTGGATTGTGTTAACACACCTGAATGCTCCAGACGATAGTTATTCCGAATTCGTGTGGAAGCGATGAGGACATACTGAGTTTTCACAGCACTGTTTCTTCACTTTTGTTCAGTTTATGTTAAATAATGAGACAGTGTAATGTGTCATGTTGTGTTGCTCATCTATTTAAATCATTTTAAGACCTGCTGATACGTAAAACCACAGGAATGGCCGTGCTTGTTTAATCGCTCTGTCCACTACTTCTAATGGAAGTTTTGCATGACCTGTGTGACTTTAAAGTTCAGCTCTTTGAGTATCCGGCCTCTGCTGGACTTTTAAACTGTGTCTCATGCCCATGCTGGCAGCACATGGCGGTGCATCACTTTACTAAGACAGACTAACAGACTGGTGGATGTGTTTGTAAGCAAACCCACGGCGCACACACCGCTTATGGTCGTATTTATTTTCATCTGTCACATAAACAAACATCTGATGAACTCCAAATAAATTATTCCAGGTGTGAAAGTGCATCAGATTACTTGATTAAAACATAAAACTTAAAGACTCAGTGGTGATCAGTTCTGGTCGTTTTACACACAGATGCTAAAATCCTTTTAATATTCACTCGGTGAATCCATCTCTAAAACTCCATCACTGTGCTGTAGTGTCAGCTCTATCGCTCTTCATCGCTTTCCCAGCATCAGCTTCGTCTTGATGACCTTGGGCACGTGCCGTATGGTCAGAGACACCCTGGTGCCTCGGTTCAGCTCCTCACCCAGTTGCGCCCCGGCGGCAGACAGGTTCACCACCTTCTCGGTCAGCGTGTCCTGCTCGCGCCCCTGGATACCGTGAAGGAGGCGCTGGTACATTTCATCCTGCAGGATGAGAAGGCTTCGTGGCCTTACCAGAAGCGAGAACAGGAAGCGGCTCTCCGCTGTCTGCGGTGCGGCGCCCTCAGTGCTGCTGAGCGGCGTATAGAAGTCCAGCAGGGTGTGAGAGCCCAGGCTGATGGTGGTGACGGTGGGGTGGTACAGCGGCCCATCCTCGTGGGGCATGATCCCCTCTCCTGGTTTATACTCATTCACCAGCACGTGATTGGCCGTTTTCCCACTGAACGTGCCCAGAGACGAAATCTTCTCACAGTACGTCTGGAGCCAATCGGGAAGCCGCTCTCCCAGCATGCCTTTGGGGTGTGGTAACCCTCCCCAGTTCTGGAGCCTCCGGCCCGACAACTGAGTCCACTTAGTCTTTGGAGACCTGTAGACCTGCTGGAGGAGGTACGACTCCTCGTCCTCAGATATGAAATCTGGAACACAATACGCTGTGGGCGGAGCTTCGCTTACGACAAACTGCTTCAACTCCTCCAAAATACATGCTGGGCGCTCCATGCCTCCTTAAGAAAGTTAACATGAAACTCATTAAAACCCAGAAAAAAATAAATAAAAATAATAAAGCAGTCTTTCTGTGGTTCACTAATATTTATATTAAATTAGTTGTTTTTTTTAAAAAGTTTAAGTTTATTAAAATGAATTAAATACATTTATTTTATTTTAAAAAGGTACATTTTCAGTTATTTTTATACTAAATTAATGAGAAGTAATGAATACTCTGCTGCATTCCCATGTTTTTTCTCTAAAATTACAATTGAGATTTATTTTCCCCTTCCCCTTAGACTTAAACTTACTTTAAAATTCAGATTTTTATTCATAAAATGAATGAAATTAAAGTTGTAAACTTGTGAATTTTAATCTCTGAATTTCTGTCCATAGAGTTAGAAAAGCCTTTTTTTTTTTTTTTAAATCCGATGAATTTCCTCTCTGTGTCCACAGCCCATCATACACGGAGCTTCACTCAGACTGAATGATCATTAAAACCTTTCACTCACTCAACAGCAGGCTTTTGTTTGTTCTGCAGTTAAAAACAGAAAAATTCGAGAAAAACAAGAAAAAGAAACACGACGCTGCCTTTAAAGTCGCGGGTCACGCGAGCTCCAGTGTCGTAAAAACTTTTTTCTCGACATCCAAATCCGATGATTTTTGGTCAGCAAAAACCAACAACACGAAGCTTTAAAGTTAGTGTGCGTGTGTGTGTAATTGCTCGTTAAATTAAGTGCTAAAACGGCGCTGTGTGAGTTTATGACTCCGTGAAAGAAAGATAGATAAATAATAGTTTTATTTAAGTCAAATAAATTCTTATGAATATTGTGCCTTTGTAAAAGAATTCCTACCTTTCACATTAATATCGGTTACATTTTTATTTCTTGAATTATTTACCGCAAAACAGAAATCCGACATTCTGTGTGGCCCAAAAGGCAACGCAAAGGCAAGTTTACTGTACGGAAACGGGCGATTTTGAAAAGAATTCCGGGTTTAGAGGCTACTCGATACCTGCAGGAACTCTAAAAACGGCACACTGCGACGGAGAGCATGCAGAAGAACCTGATTTACCTGGTTAGACATAAATAATCTGATGAAAATTCCGTTTCTTCAGGTAAAATCCCAACAGCCCGACGCCATCCGCAATAACGCGTTTGTGCACCGAAATAAAATGTCCGGAAGAGAAAGAAGCGTCGACTTTTTGGACCTGTGCCTTATTTTTTCGAAATACGTTTTCTATTATTGAGTTTATAGAAATGTTTTAAGTAGTATTAATGCCAAATTTGTTGATTCGCCTTTTTGTTGTCAGTTTTGTGTTTTTAATCACAGAGTTTGGGGTAGTCGGAATTATTTACATGTAGCACAGCGAGACGAAGCAGGACAGAAACTTGGGTTAACCCACGTTTTCTGGACAGATACAGTTGTTTATCATGCTTCCTGAACTCTAAGAACTTATTCATGGCATACCATTATGTTAGTTTAATGTCTGGAGGAACTGCTGTGAAGTCACCCTGAGGTATTACCTGCCTGTCCTCACAGGTGTGACTAGTTCGGGAAGATGTTTCGCAGTAAAGTGAAGGCTCTGAGGCTGCTGCAGCTCGGATACACACTCCGTCACACTGCTTCCTGCTCTAGGTTGGTTCTGGGCATCGAGACCAGCTGTGATGACACGGGAGCGGCTGTGCTGGATGAGACTGGCGCCATACTGGGAGAGTCTCTGCATTCACAGAAGGAGGTGCATCTCAGGTAGGTGTCAGAGGTCAAGGTCACTGCTTGTTAGGGGCTGTAAAAAACTGGCAGCGATCGTCATAGATAAACAGAGTAACCTGACATGCTCTCAAACCTGCAGGACTGGAGGCATCATCCCTACCGTGGCCCAGCAGCTCCACAGGGAGAACATTGAGCGTGTGGTCCAGGAGGCTTTGGAGAGGAGTGGCGTGGCCCCAAGCCAGTTGGCCGCCATCGCCACCACAGTGAAGCCCGGGCTGGCCCTGAGCTTGGGTGTCGGACTTGAGTTCACTCGGCAGTTGGTGAGGCGGCACGACAAGCCATTCATCCCCATCCACCACATGGAGGCCCACGCCCTGACTGTGAGGATGCTCCAGCCCGTCAGCTTCCCCTTCCTGGTGCTGCTCGTGTCCGGAGGCCACTCACTCCTCGCTGTGGCCCGGGGAGTTGATGACTTCCTGCTTTTGGGTCACGCTCTGGATGAAGCTCCCGGAGATACTCTAGATAAAGTGAGACCGTAATGACATACAAAACTAATTTACATGTTTAGGATAGACTAGAATCCCGTTATTTGTAAGTCCCCTCTGTAAGGGCCTGTGGTCACTTTGTTAAGAAGTCCCAAATTTGAGACTAAAAACAGCGTTCATACACGACCCCTGATGTTCGAGGTGTGTCAGTGCAGCGCAGAGGGTGGTATTGACCTGTTAGTCCAGGGTGGCAGGAAGTGAAGATGTGACCTTTACAAGCATTTCATCAGAGCGGGGCTGAGAGCTACAGGTCTGAGGTCATTAACCCGGCCTTTGTAAAGTTATCAAGGTGTCGTCCACATGATGAATTAGTTTTGTGACATTGCCACACACACCTGTGGGGACCAGTTGGCATGGTGACTGCAGACTGAGAAATGTTAGAGACCCTGCTGTCTGACAGACTCAGATACAGGGAGACAGATTAGGATTTGGGATCCTGGAGAAGGAAGTCCACAAAATCAAAAGCACAAGAAGTTGAGAAAATCTTTCACTTCCAAAACACAAAATCCTGATTTTTCATGTCCGTAGTGTGTTTTACATAAAAGTGATCCAGGATAGGGACCACTGGGGAGGCTGGGCTCAGGAAGGATCAATGAGAGAACCTTGAGTCCTTTCACAATAAGAGCAATACTGAAAATCAGACGAAAATTTTTTTTCAGTCTTCATATATAACCATTGGGGTTATCTTTATCTCCCCAGTGGTTATTCATATTCCATTAAATGATAGCTTTTTGTAATTTTACACATTTACTTCTTACAATTTAAGCTCAAAGAGACGTGCTGACAGATTTCTCAAGATATTTCATTGATTAAACGTGTAGTTACATTTCTGTATACTTCAGCAAGAGGTGTTTCACTGGTCTAGCCCACATGAGATCAAAGCAAGAGAGTTGCTGGAAGTTTGAGAAACATCAACAGCCTCAGTTCTTTATGCAGATGAAACTTTTTGTGACCTACAGGTGGCGAGACGTTTGTCCCTCGTCAAACACCCGCAGTGCTCCTCGCTGAGCGGAGGCCAGGCCATAGAGCTGCTCGCTCGGGACGGCGATAGGACGAAGTTCTCTTTCAGGACACCAATGGGACAAACGCACGACTGCTGCTTTTCCTTTGCTGGACTCAGAAATCAGATTACGATGACGATAATGAAAAAAGAAGCAGAGGAAGGTACGAGCCCCGTTTCCCCCATAACGCCTGCAGCAGCGATTCACCTCTGACTTTTAGGCTCTCCTCCCCTCCCTCTGTAGGTGTGGAAGAGGGGACACTGCTGAAATGTGTGAATGATATTGCAGCTGCCGCTCAGCACACCGTCGCCGCCCACCTGGCGAAGCGCACACACCGCGCCATCCTGTTCTGCAAGGCAAACGGCCTGCTGCCGCCGAGCAGCCCCACCTTGGTGAGTTTGCTGGGATATCCCCACCCACCTGCAGCCAGTCAGAAGAAAATTGTCTCAAAGAAGGATTATTTTGAACTGTGAATCATGCAAAGCTGAAATCTTTAGAATGGTTTTAAAGCTTCCTGTGCTTAAAGTGCTTTAACCTTAACTTTTCTTTCTATAGTCACATTCACCTTTCAGTCACAGGATCATTACTTATTATACCTTACCTTATTTTGTCTCATGTTCACTGGTGGATGTTCATATTAAACAAGATCTAAATTTCTGGTAATGAGGTCGGTTTCTGTACAAACGATCCTCGGGAGCCAAAGATTTCTTCCATAGATTTAATAAACATGTCTCTGTTTGTGCTGCTTTCTTATAATGTGTTCACAGTGAAAATAATATAAAGTAAAACTAGTCCTTTACTTTACATTGATTTACGTTTAGGTGCTTTCTGGGGGAGTTGCGAGCAACCAGTACATCCGAAAAGCTCTGACGATTGTCACGGAGATGACCGGTCTGCATCTGATCTGCCCTCCTGCAAAGTTCTGCACTGACAATGGAGTGATGATTGCATGGTGCATTTACTGTCCTGTCAGCCAATCGGATTTAATTTTCTTAGATTAGGATGAGAAAAACATTTTCCTTAATTTTTCATTTTTAAAACTAGGAACGGCGTGGAGCGGCTGAGAGAAGGAAAAGGGATCCTGGCTCCAGATGTTGATGTTTGCTACGAGCCAAGGTCAGTTTATTTATTCACGAGGTTTATTTTATTGTTCTTTTAAGTTTTCTTTCTAAAGTGTGTGTCGTCCCCCCCCGGTTAAATCGACACTGGCTCATTGATGCTGTGTTGCAGGGCCCCGCTGGGCGTTGACATCACAGCGGAGGTGAAGGCCGCCGCGATCAGGCTGCCACCCTTAAAGATGAAGATCCCTAGCTGATGTCATTGTCATTGCGATTTCCCAAAGCAGTGTATAACAGTACTGTATCTAAAAAGGACATTATACGGATATTTATTAATAAATATTTTTTCTGAAACTGGTTTTGTTAAAAAAAAAAAGTATTTCTTTTATTTATTAAATTTTTTTACTTTTAAATGTTTTCATATTTATTTATAAACGTTTCAGTAGCTAGATGGATATTTTTTGTCCTATTGATTTATTAGTGAGTTGGTTTTTTATTTAGGATTTTGGCACTCTCAGTCCTCCATACTAAGGAGGCTGAATACAGATTTTCCTCCTCTTCGTTCATCTGTTCCCTCTGCATACACACAAACACAGATCTGACCACACCAAGACAAAAACACAATTTTATTATCAGTTATGTTCACTTGTGTCACAGTTCATTCTTTTACACACAGATGTTTACAGACGTGGTTTCTGAGAGAAACACTGCTGATCCGGGGAGCTGTGAGGCCCGGAGGCAGCCGGGATCCTCTGAGCTGTTTGTTCTTGTGTTCATCTTAAAAGACTTTATCACATGGCTGATTGCAGGACGTTGTGCAATCCTTCGGTTTTGGCTGAAAGTTGAATCAAAGTTCAGAAAACTTGAAGGAAAAAAACCTTTAAATGGCAAAATATATAGTGGTGTTTGCACATTTTCACAGGTGCTGCACATATTCTTACTTTCAGACTGAACTCGAGCTCGCTCAGCTTTACTTGTTGTCTGCTTCCTAAAGGAAAAATCTGCCCTAAAACAACATTTGGAGCTCAGCCTATCCTACAAAGCAAGTAACTTTAGGTTAAAGTTGGAGGTTTTCAGCAGTTCACTTCTACCATGAGTGCGCTGCCATGGTAACCTATGCTGCAGATATGAAATCACCACCTTCTGACCAATCAGTTCTCCTGGAAATCCGTCACCATTCCTAGAAGACCTTGGAGTGCAAACAGCAAGAGAGTCTCAAGTTTTTGTCTTTATCTGATGACCGTAAGTAAAAAATGGAAATTCTTGGAAGCAAATTTATTACTCGCCTTTCTGCCTGTTTGCTACAAACAATTCAGTCAACTTTATTGTTCTGAAAGCTTTAAGATAGTATGACAGGGCGGCTAAGCCATGCACACCTTAAAGGCTTGACCTTTTTGCCAGTTTGAATTTTTTTTCTATTTATTCTTTACTTGCTCTTAGAACATTAAACAGTGCAGGCTGCAAATGAAAGAATAAGGCTGAGACTGTGGTACGTGCATCCAAACAACTTAATTTAAAGGAATAACTAAATAATCTTCTGTCTTAATAGAACAGCTCTGAGTTTTCAGAATTTTACTACCATACGGCTCTTTTCTTCTCACACACTGCTGCTGTCATGTTTAGATCGGCATTTGCTGCCAGTACACCTGTGCATGTTCGCGAGTGGTCAAATCCTGGCTCTTTCATGTGAGCATACTCATACCTAGACTGATAAACCCCAGGATGACTTATCGAGACGATAGCCACCTAGCCTGATTAGGTTAAGTGAAGCTACATAAGGAAAAGATTGCTTCGTAGAAAAAGGCCCCAGAATTTTAATCCCATTTAGTGTTTCCATGTCACTACTGATTATTTGGGGGGCCTCTTTTACCCATTTTCCACCGGAAGCAGCCCTCAGATGTTTCCTCCTCAGCCCAAATTTCTGTTAGAAACCACAGACTGTATAGAAAATGGTCTGCAAGTGCCTTAAACCTGAATTTGTTTCAGCAGTCACCAGAGGGCGCTACCTGTGGTTTCACAAAGACAGGTCCTGTGAAATCATGGGCATGCTTCAGCTTTAACTTGTTTCTGGTGAAGAGCAGCCATTAGCCTTTTATAAATTTCAAAGACTATATTGGCAAATATGCAAAGAGCTCCAGGCTGATCACACTTGTGTGGGGTTGTGCTGGTCCACCTGGTTTTTCAAGGACTGACCATTGATTATGGATCAGATTAAGATTTATGGGGTTTCCAAACTCTTGAGTCAACATTTTAAGCTGTAAAATGCACAGACTATCACCAAACTGAAGCTGATATTTCAGGATACTTTTACTGTGGTCAGTCCTTAAAAAAAAGCAGATGGACCAGCAATAGCAACGGCTGATTTCAGAGTAGCTAAGTCCATCTTTTACACGGTCTAGAAACACTGGAATGAAGGGTACTCACACCAGTGACGATGTGGGCTGGTTCTCAAAGGCAGAAATGGCTTCACGTCAGTGGGAAACAGGTAACAAGTCACTGGCCCATTATTTCCACCGCAAACATTTTCCAAATCATTACAACGACAAAATGGGTCAAAATAACCGCTAAAGAGGAAGAAACCCCCTCACATGCTCGCTTCTGCAGGCCTGAATTTACATGTTCAAAAGGCTTTGCGGGAAAAACAGGAAACTTCCAGATGAAGAAGAAGTGGTGAGTCTGTTTGACGGAAAGTGACTGAAAAAGTGTACACATCTAACAGTGGAAGTGTGTGTGTGTGTGTGTGTGTGTGTATTCCCTTTAGTTTCCTCTCTAAATAACACACAAACTAAAAAAAAAACAAACAGTGCTAGAGCTCATCATGCTGATAAATGTTATACTCCTTCGCACTGATCACGCCATCTCTGTCGCCGTCGTTCTTGTAGAAGATATCGTCTATAAGCTTCTCGTAGAAAGGGTCGTCGCGCGGCTTCCCCCCTTTTTCATACTCCAGCTTCAAATATTCTTTCACCTGGAAACAGAGAAACACCTCAGAGTAAACTCTGAATTTTAATAACGCCGCCCTCACGCTGTGCCTGACAGGAAACGTATCACATATATATATATGTTATAGAAACCTCAGCAGCTGGTTCTCCTGTTTTCTTTCAGTATTACCCATCCAGACAACATGCGTGCTAGAAGCTTCTTGGTACTGCAGTTAATAATTTAAAGATAAAATAGAGATAATGAGCATAATATGCAACCTTTATTCTTTATGAGGCGACTATATGTGAAGGAATGGAAATATGCACTATGATAAACATGCAAGGTACATAATCTCAGGTAGGGCTGGTGAAAACAGGTTGATGTGTTACTGCACTGGCAGGATTATTAGTCAGATTATCAAGTTTGGGATAATTTAAATTTAAACCACGAGATCAGCCTCTGCAGAAGTAAAGACGCGGGTTTATTTTAAGAAAACCATCACTTTCTGTTCCAGAATCACATGACAGGAACAAGATTGTGTTTGTGAGTTTGCATGAAACTGGAGACTGCAGGAGATTAGCCGATTCTAACGTAACAGGACATTTCGCCACAGAATCACATATTTTTACGCTGGACAAAGGGTTTTTGGCTGTTTTTTTTTTTTTGGTTGAACCCCAGTTTTTTGCCTTTAATGCCACACGTTTACCCACATACACCAGAGTGGTAGAGTCGTGTGCGAAAAGAGACCAACTAAGCACATTTCATGTAGAGCTGGATCCTGTTTTATTATATAACAATCATGTAGTTTGTTCTCTCAGTTTCATGACTGGTATTACAGAGAAACAAATTTGTAGGAAGGTATTTTCTATGCATGTTTAAGCTGCACGCACACAGATGGGCCAGGTGCTAATTTGTATCTCCTAATAACCCTGATTTTCAGCATAAAACAAGCCCATTCTGCTCGACTGCTTATCTGATTCTTAAGATATGATGACCCTGTTTCCAGGCTCTTGCCTTATTAATGTGCTGCAGTTTTTTGTCTTTTCACTTTTCTATTCAGTCATTTAGGACTGAAGGTGCATTCAGACCTGGAACTGAAGACTAATGTCCGGCTGAATAAGTGGAATTGGGATCATCTGTCATCGGATTACAGAGGACTTATTTTATGATAGAAAGCATGAGCTGAACCAACTGTGTCCTTGCTTTTATTGTAATTACCAGGTTATAAAATAAAGTTACCTCTGCCTTTGAGAGACTCTTGTCTTTATCGAGGTCCATCCTTCCAAAAGCCTCCATGGTGCGTGGTCCCTTGGACACAGAGAGGACCTCCACCTCAAAGACCACGGTGGCATTAGGAGGCACCGGACCTGTTTAAAACATCAACATTTTAAATGACCGATGATTCATTATCATTGAAGAAGTTTATCAGATTGGTGGCTCAGCTGCTGATTTCAGATTTTTGTGCTGAGTTGAATAAAACAGCAGATACCGACAGAGAAACATTAATCACTGAGTAACATGGTAGTGACTTTAATCAGTGCAAAATATAAAGGCATGGAAGTACGCAGTAGGTTTGGTGCATTGTTTGTACTATCAAGGAGAATAGGTGTGTGTTTAAAAATGTGATTTGAGAGCAAAACTATAGACGCTGCTCTGAAGCTTAAAGAAAAATATGTGTGTTGAAAATGTGAATCTAAAGGTTTACACAAGCCCCAAGAGACCAGAAGATTTTTTTAAACTGATCTTATGTAAAAATTCATGTACGGCTGCTTACGTCTGTTTTTACCCCATTAAATTACACAATGCAGAAAAAGTCTAAAGTGTCAAAACTGCAGTTCCCCTAATGTCCACTTGAAGCTCCAGCAGTGACTCAGTCTCCATACACTTCTATGTTAAAATGTCCAGACTTTACAGCAGAAACAAACACGTTTACATCCTGATACAAAATCTGCTTTGGTCTCCATAGCTAATTCCCCCTATGTCACAGCTCTGCAACACACAACTGCATCTTCAGCATGAGTAACTATGGACATTACAATCTGTTACAAAAGACACGATGTTAATGAAAGATGTGAGCATGATGGGACCAAGTATACTTGTGGAACTCCAGGATGGTAACTTCAGGCACAGGAAGCCCTGCTACTACCATTTACAGCAATATTAACCCAAACCTTATAACCTCTGGCTCCACCCACTAAATTACATTAAGGCTAAGTTTGTATTATGTGAGCCGTCGCCTCTAATAGTAATTATCTGACAAATAATATGGCTTGTGTTGTAGTACAATCTTCCTCTTCAGTGTTTACAAAGTGAAATTATGTTTGTTTGTTTTTCATCAGTCTGTTTAGTAGCTGTTTGGGAAAAATCATAAGTCCATGTCCATGTTTTTGACCCAAACGTTTTATGGTTACATATTATTCTGCAGTATCTTTAGATTTTCTCACCTTATGCTTTAGATTACAAACCATTTCTCTTTTATTGCCTAATAAAGACACAAAGGTACCTTGGAAAATGACTGCCATTGGTTAAAATCAAACAAGATAAAATATGCTTTATACGAGCAAGAGAGTAAAAGAATATTAGATTGACATGCAGTTAATGTACAGAGAATAACAGAGGGTACAGAGAGAAGAATCGGTGAAGCTCTGTTTCAGTGTCTGTGGGTCATTATAAAGCCAACTAGTGCAGGGGGCAACTAAAACATGCACTCTAAGCAGAAGAAACATTTCTTTCACACCCAAAGGGTGAAATGCAACATCCCAGACTGAACACACCACTATCAGAGGACTGTAGTTAGTATTAACTCCTCCAAAAGTTCTCCAACACATACAAAGAAGAAACGAAGAGGAGACCTTTAAAGATCTTTGCATGCTTACAGGACATGCCATGTGGAGAAGAGTAGCAAACACTGCGAGGGATGTGATCTCCCTTCAGTTAAAGGGCTGTAAAAGAAGATAAGACAGCATGAAGGCAGACCTGCAACAATCAACTAATATCACACAAAACAGAGTTGAGAAAACACAGCATATGTATGTATGTAATGAATAATAAAAAAGACAGATGCTGCTGTAGCTCATTTTTGAAGCAAACACTAAGATTTTCTACTGATTTACTTAAACTTAATTTCTTCAACGCTTTCAAATCACTGAAACAAAGTCAACTTGCAGAAACTCAAAGCTCATGGAAAACATTTTTATTTACATCTCAGGACTTTTTAGTTATTTGTTTAAAGAGGTGTCCACATTTTTACACAAGTTGTACTTCTCAACCTCTGAAACAGTCATATAAAGGCCTCTATGGGTCTTCACAGTCACTGCTTAATGGATTATTGGACCCAACAGAAGCACACAGACAGAAAATAAAACAGGACCGAGAACTGAGCCCTGGGGAACACCACAACAGGAAATGATAGAAGCAACTTAAAACTCAGACTGCTGATAACCTTTTAAGGCCTTACCTTGAGTATAACTGAGTTTTCATGATAAAAACCTTAAAATCACATCCCCAACCTTGTGGGGAAATACATAATCAGCACACCTACCACCACCTAGATGTTTTTACCTTTGCCCTTTTCTCCAAATGCCAGGGTTGATGGGATGGTTAGTTTTCGCTTCTCTCCAGGACACATGCCCATCATCCCATCATCCAGTCCCTTAATGACTTGTCCCACACCCAAAACGAACCACTGAGGCTGTCCATCTTTGTCTGTACGACTGAAACAGAAATAAAAGCAGAGACAAAGAACATCAACAATCTTTGAATAAGTTTGACTAAACGTGCACTTTAATTTTGGTTGCTTTAAACTTAAAATGAGGAATGTTTCCAATCCCTTTACACTTTAACATACTTAAAGCTTAAATAGAGCTTCAGCATTTTAAACACACATTAAAGAGGACTTTAGGATTAAGTATGCATTCATTACTCACTCCAAATTAACATCGGACTAACACATAACTCTGTTTTCAAAGCACTGACCTGCAGTAAAACTGGGAACCATCTTTGGCGAGGAACCCATCGTAGTGAGCATTGATCAGATCTCCTCTCTTGCTCCTTTGGCTGCACTCCTCTGGTTTAAATAAAACTTCAGTCTCCACTTCTCCGTCCAGCTCCTCTTCAGCGGCCGAAACTGGCCGCAGACTCAGCCCTGCGGACACAAACAGGCACACTGTGCAGCTCAGTAACCTCCACATCATGCCGCTTTGCATTCGTGGCAACTTCTGAAGGTGACGTTTGAACACTGAGGAGGACGTATGAGACGTTGGGCCGGAATACCCTGAGTTCTGACTGCCAGGGGATCAACCTGGGTTGGAGAAACTGCGCATGCTTTTCCTGACAGACTATACCGAGGGCAGAAATGCTGCTCTCAAAAGGTACTGGGGCTGCAGAATTATTACGTAAATAAAAACAAACAAATAAATAATGTGATGTTAATTCTGCATCCGAAATCTTACATTAAAGCTGTATATTGCTGTATAAAACTACAGAATACGTGCTCATTGCAAAAGTGAGTGTTAGACACTTGATTCCCTGAATTTGCACATTTTGCTTAGTTTGCGCCTTTTTCCCGAATCCACTGAAATTTTGCCTGAAGAAAAGCAATGGCTCCACAGGCTCAATATGTATGATAATAATAATTATTTTATATAATAATTAAAATACTCAAAATCACAATCATTAATTAAAATCTAATTATATAAGTATAATTTTAGTCATAATTGCTAATATGTAATAATCATTATTATTTTGTTATTGTTATTAATATTATTATATTATTATTGCGTACAGCACAATAATAATAAACTGAAATGCACACATCATCATTATTATTATTTTTATTGTTATTATTAGTAGTAGTAGTATATGCTTTTTTTTACACTGTGCCACAGTGTATCATCTTCTCTTTCAAATCAGCCCTCTGCATCTCCTCCTTCACAACATCCATGAATCTTCTCTTTGAGCTTCCTCTTTTCCTGCCTGGAGTCTCCACATTCTTCCTCCATGCTTCAAACTGCTCAGCCTGATCTGTACCTCTGATGTACTCATTTCTAATCCTGTCCAACCCGCTCAGTCACAGTGAAAACTTTAACATCACTGTCCTCATACTTGTCGTGCTCCACGCTCACATACTTCTTTGCCTCACGTCTGTAGAGGTCTTTTTTCTGCATGAAGTCATACTGCTGCTTGCAGATACTCAACCTTCTTATTAACATAGCTTGAATAACTATTTCCCATAACTTCATGGGAAATACTTGATCCTCTTCTAAGCTGCCCTCATGTCATCAACTTTATCCATCTGTAAGTCAACTTCCCTCTCTCCTGGACACCTTCAAACCTCCACAGATATGTCATCTGGACCAGCTACCTTTCCACTCTTCATCCTCTGCTAAGCTGCCCTCACATCCTCCTCACTAATCTTCTGCACTTCCTGATTCACAAACTGTCTTCCTCTCTCATTTTCTTCATTCACCATCTCCTCAAAGTACTCCTTCCATCATCTCAGCACACTCTCGTCACTCATTAGTAGATTTCTGTTAGGATTAATTACCCTAACCTGCTGCACGTCCTCTCCAGCTTCATATGCCCTGCCAATCACTACAAATCCTTTTCTCGCTCCTTAGCGTCCAGCCTGACATAAAACTCATTATACGCCTTTTCCTTCGAATTCTCTCTTGTACTTTTTCATTCAACCACCAAGTCTCCTTTAATGATAATAACAACTACAAAACCACCATCACCAACAATAATAATAATAATGATAATGATACGGAATAATAAGGAATGAATGAATCTAATAACATTCTAATAAACCCGGTAAAAGCAGCGTAATTAAGCCACCTTTTCTCTGTAAACATGTTGTAAAAACATAGTCATATATTGATAGGTCATATATCCGATGGTGCAGTTTTAAAAAAAAAACACAGAAGAAGAATTGATAGGGTACGTCATAATTACTTAACTGTATTTCCACCAATAAAAAGCTATGGGGCGTGGCTGTTCCGCTCTATATACTTGTGGAAACCGGTGTCTGTGAGTCATCGCCGCTCGGACAGACAACTTGCTTCGAATCGCTATTCAGAAGCCTCGCAGATTCTCTCGGATTTATTAGGAATCACGAATTTCTCTCTCATTGCCCGACAGGATTGAGATGTTACATTTTAGGTCCTCGACAGTGCTGAAGGAGTTGTTTGAAGCCACCCTCAAGCGTCCCTTTCCCGTCTACCGAGAGAAGACCTGGTTGCCGACAGGCTCCCGCTGCTTCTGCTGCCTCGGCGCCACCTCCGTTGATGCCAGAGCCACATCTGCTCCTCTGAAGCTCCTCAATGCCGCCGCGCACCGCCCGGCTCTCCGCACCGCGCCCCGCGCCGCCTCTCTCCGCTCCTACTGCGTGAAAACCGAAGCCGAGGAGGTAGAGGAGCAGCTGAAGAAGGATGGAGCCGGCGGCGAAGCGGACAGCGACAAGTAGGTTTCAGTAAAATACTTCTAGAAGATCTCCGGGTTGCCCGCTGCCATGCCATGACGTCGCATCTGGCGTCTGTGCGTGACGCGATCGGATGCTGCGACCGCTAACCGACGCGAACACTTTTTAATGACCGCATTAAATGTCCCTTTATTTAAAATGTAAATGTTTACTTATTTTTTAAATGTGATTTTTACAGGTTTAACCCTTCATTTAAGATTTTAAATAAACCGTAATAAATAAAAAAAATAAGCTAGCTTGTAGCCTGTGTGGGACATCAGTGGCTCTCGGGCCATGTGCGACGTGTTCGCTCCACCGGCTTCGTTAAAGGTGGCGATAAAAAATGTTCACGTCTTCAAATACTCCGCATCAGGGCACTTCCGCTCTACCGGGATTTTGAGTTGACCACGCCAATCTGTAAGTGTTGTCCTGTTAGCTGCCTGCCCCAGAGGAGATAATACTCAGCGGGGGCCAACAGTTGTGAAAGTGAAACAGCAGCAGGCCGTGAAGCAGAGGGTAAAAAGGTCCACACCGAGGCTTCAGGAGACCGGGTTCAGCTTCTCACTGAGCTACGATCATCCACATGCACGTGTTTTTATTTTAGTTTCGCTCGCTGCGACAAGGAGTGCTGCTGTTCTGGGGAGGAAGCAGAGCAGGTTCTAGTGGTTTCTACTGTGACCTTCACTAAGGAGGTCACATTTGGAGCGTTGCTGCTGCTCCACAGGTTATTTATGTTGAACTTAACAGACTCGATCAACTCCCTGTAGAAAACAACAACAACAACAACAACAAAACATGTATTTTAACATAAAACCATTACAGCATTGAATGAAGGACACATTATGCTGTTTATATTTATCCACATCCACTTAATGACGCATTACAATAGTCCTGCCATTTTTTTTCAGTTGATGGGCCTAGTTTTAGCGGACTATATCAAGTAGAAATAAAACCGTATCATTTAAAAATTAGATCTGCATTATGATTTTAGGATGGCTGTGACTCTAATAGGGCACAAAGCCTTCACTTCTGAGTATTGTAGGAAAGAAGAAAAGGTAATTTTAGTCATTTAAAAATGGGAAATACTGTAAAGTTTAAACATATTTCACCTCAAATAAAGTACAAAAGAAATATTTTGTTTAAAAATTGGAATTACTAATGACGTCTCTGCAGTTTTCACTAGTTTGGACTTCCTTGTGTTGCCATATGTTTGACCTTACACAATACCAATGCCACAATTTACAAACTGATGAGAAATGCAGGAATTTTTGGTGTCTTTGGTAAAAATTCACAAGTTTTCCTACTAAGTAGCAGCCCTGCAGCTGTCATCAGATAAAAAAATGAAATCCTAATGATTGAGTCTTTTTGGGGGGGTTAAATCCACATCTGTGGCAGCCTCCAGCTGCCTGCCTGCAGCCACGTCGTTCCTTTTGCAGCGAGCTGGAAAAAATTCATGAGATATTTCCTGACCTCGAAATGAAGACTCACATGGACAGGGTGGCGTCACCACAGAGATGTACGATATTGGTTTTTGCTTTGCTAATGCACATGTTGCACTCCCAAGACACTCTTCACATAATCCCTCAGGGTCAGCAGGTTTCCTGTCTGAAATAATGAAGCTTAATGAAAGCAACACAACATGCAGTTATTGCTCTAGCTTGTAGTCTTTGTTTCTCAGTGCTTTAGATAAGAGTAGGTACAGCTACTGCAGGAAACCCATCAGGGAACCCGTATCTAACACAGGCTGATGTGTTTCCTGGAGTAGCTGGTCAAACCAAGCTGTCATCACATGAAGAGTGGCTGAGATGTGGATATTTTTAGACTTGATGTCAGTATGTGATGGAGACTCTCAGTATTTTCTATGAAATCAAGTGTGATATGTTTATTAAAACAGTGTGATTAATAAATAAAGCAAAAAAATATAATTATTTGGTAGTGATAAGGTTTTACAGTATATCACAGCATTACTGCATGACTGAGACATTGCAGATGAAATCATCATTATATACAGTCATTAAATATTTGGCACGGGTGCGTTCACACCGAAGGTGAAGCAGGATTTCTCCTTCTGTTATTTGCATGAGTACAGCAGGGTTGCATACCCACGAATATTCAGCCAGTGAGGTAAGGAGGAAAAGCTAAGTCAGGCTGCAGTTGCACATCTTAAAAAGTCCTGTAATCGCACACTTTTCTCTGAAACCTCTTTTATTCCTGTCAATAGAAAACTGAAATTGAACCAGTCTGCTCCACCAGTCCTCCGGCTGCATCCGTAAGCCCCGCCCTCAGTGAAATGAAGCCACGAAATGAAGCAAAACAAGTCAAACTGTCTTAAAGTAGATGGCCAGCAGCTGCCTGATCTGAGCCTGTAGCTGCAGAAGCTTCACGTGATGGCAGCATCCATGTAAAACAATGGGTTAAATATTAATTGCATTTACCGGAGGTCTGGTTAGGTGTTACTCTGATTTTTGATGTTGGCAGATATATGAGCACTATGGTGTGTCTACTCTTGTGTGACTGGGTGTCCAGAGGGCAGCCGTCATTGCTAAAGCACTCCTGATGAAGCAGAGCACAGAAAGAAGACTACTCTTCAGCTCTTGTTTCCAGGAAGCTCTTGCATGCACTGGTGAGCAGTCATCCAATTGCAGATGGACTGAGCCATCTGTCCGTGAGGATTTTTACAGGGACAAATGCAGACAAACAAGGTGTTCAAGGCAGTATTCAGCCCTTACCCATCTACTGGTTAAACACCGTCTGGTGGATTTGCTCATTTAGTTCAGCTCATGTTTGCTGCTGACAACTGTAAGACTCGGGCACTTAAACCACTGGACTCTGTGAAATGGGGCTTGTTCATTCAGTCATCTGTGGACCAGTCCAAGGGTTTCAATAGGGCTTGACACTGCTGTCAGTTTTTCTGCTTAAGTTAGCTTTGAGTAAAGTAAAGATTCAGCCTTTATCTACTTCCTGCTGCTTTAAACTACAAGGTGAACCTGGAGTACTTGGAAAAGTGTATGAACAGAGACTTCAGGTGGCTGCTATCCAAACAAACCTGAGACTCCTGCATGTGCAGCCAGCACTGCAGTTCCTCTGATGTCCACTTGAGGCTCCAGCAGTAAATCAGTCCCCACAGACTCCCAATGTTGAAGTGTTTACAGCAGAAGTCCTGATGCTCTCTGTGGAGGTTACTATGTAGTACTATTTGACAGGTTTCTCTGTGGGAAGGATTTAGCTTTACTGCAGTTGTACACAAATACAAATACACACCACCAAATGACAATGGAAATCTGCACGAAACAAAGAGTTAAATATGGTACAATAGGGCTGCTCAATTAATCGAATTTTAATCACGATTACTAGCCCCTCCCTAATTTATCCGCGACACCTTAAAGGCCGGTCCGTGAAAATATTGTCGGGCATAAACCGGTACGTGGCGCAAAAAAGGTTGGAGACCGCTGATTAAGAGGACCCGAGGGAAGCTCGGAAAGCTAAGCAGAAGTTATTTGGAGAGTGACTGCCGTTGGTTGAAAAGAGAGTTTAAAAAAAAAACTTCAGTGGTGTTGCACACTATTTTATATTATTTTTTTAAAGTCATTGTTAACCCTTTAAAGCCGGTCAGAGCAGCACGCTCCGTTTTGCGTAACTATTTTTAAATCCCTGTAGAACCTGAACCGTGTAAGCTAGCGCAATAATTTGTTTTGCATATGAAACCGGAGGAGTTGTACTTACATCTGATGCCATCAGCTTGTCCTCGGTCACGGTTTCGTTCCACATATAGCTTTGCAAAAATTGCATAAAAAGCGCTTGCAGGAACAAAAACATAATATTCCAGAAACAGGCTTCGCCGTTCCTATCAGCTGTTCGTAACACTTCCCACAGTGAAATGATGCACATGCTGTTTTCTTTGCAAATTTGCATCATAGGATTGTTTTTTGTTTTTCCTGCAGTATATAAAAATTGCTGTATCTCCAAAATAAAACTATGAAGACACTCAAAATAAATTTCCTGTTGTTGTAAACTATTTTTTGCAACTTTATTGTATTTAAAGTTTTGAGGGATAAGCCTCTTAAATTTCTCCAAGTAGAAATATATGTAAACAAAACAAAAGCGATTTTCAATTTTTTTTGTAGTTTATTGCACTTTTTTGCAATTTATGTAATTACTATAGACTTAATGCATACATATTATTAAAATATGGGCTATAACAGTTGTATTGATGTTTAGCAACTTGAAATGCTCCCACAAATGGCACTACAGCATGTAAAAAAAATAAAAAAAAAGCTCTGGTGGACTTGGTTCTATAGTAGGTCTTAAAGGGTTAAATAAATATCGTCAAATAATCGTGATCTCAATTTCAGTGAAAATAATCGTGATTATCATTTTTGCCATAATCGAGCAGCCCTATGGTACAACCAGAATTTTAAACTCATGATCTAAGATGACTTAAAACATCCAGAAGCAGGTTTAGGTAGAAGTAACTGCTTCCTCCTTTATTGATTAGCATTATCAGTGATATCAGCTCTTAAAGATAAAGTTGAGAGGCTTGTGTCAGTTATGTGAGCTTGATTGAAAGCATCCTTATGTTCAATAATTCAGTCTGGTATGGTAACCTGACTGGGGGAATTAAGAACAAACTGAACAGGATTGTTAGAGCTGCTGGAAAAATTACTGGTTGACAACAAATTTCATTGGTTAAGCTGCATCATCAGGCTGTTTTAAGGAAAGCCCAGCCTATTTTTGATGACCATGAACACCCTCTTCATTCTGAATTTGAATTAATCGCCTCAGGATAATGGTTCAGGACACTTTTAGCTAGTAAAAAGGTGTATAAGGGATCATTTATGCCAATAGCGATAATTAGATGCTGTGATGTATATTGAACACTAATGTTGAAACTCGAGAAACCAATGAGCGGCGTAACAGTGGCTAGATCCATGTCGATGTCCAGTCTGTGGTCACATCCTGTTTAAACCTCTTCTGTGATGGATGCTCTGGTAGATGACTTGAGAATCCCAAGTGGAGATTTATTAGTTTTGATAAATGAATGAATTCAAAAGTTAAATGGGCCTCATCATGACTAATGAACCCACACTGATGTGTGGAGTTTAATTACATGAAGCCGCCCTCGTGTTTTCTGCCGGCTCTGCACAAAATGCCGCCATGTGGCTGCTGCAAGTTTCAGAGCAGAAAGATCTCAGTGCAAACCCCTCCTCCACAGAGTCTGAATGACTGCTCAGCAGCGTGAAACACATCAGAGGGCAGGTTGTGCTTAAGAGTGTCTCAGATTAGCACATGTGAGAGTGGAGACTTTATCTTAGATGCATATCGCATGCAAGTTTCCTTTCGACTGTGTGCTGTTCTTATTGTTGCTGTGCGTGCAGAGGCAGATGTCGGGTCAATAAATCTCTTGAATCATGCATGCCCGACTGACGGCATTTCAGTCGATCTGGGTGTGTTTGCACACGTTTGGCTGTCGTTACCTCGGCTGAATGTGGAGTGTTTACTCTGTGGAGAACAGGAAGAGATGAGAGGAAGGCAGGGAGGAGCGCAGGGTGAATCCTGGGATTTTAAATGGTGATGTGGCTGTTGGCAGAGCTAAATCTAGTCTGTGCAGTGCAAAGTTTTGGTGGCTCATTTATTTATTTCCAGGTTAAATTTGTTGGTGTCTTGAAAAAAATCCAGATGTTTGAATGCTTCTCTGTGCCGAGCTAACTTTTCTCCTCTGCTGCGGTGTCATCCCGGCGTGTGAACGAGCCACAGTGTTGGTTTTATTAATCCAAGAGCCTCCGAGGGCTGGACGGGACCAAAGACGGGAGAATTTCTGGAATTTAGGTCTGATCCAGACACAACCACCAAACCTGTGTGCAGCGGTCACGTAGTTTGGGGGTTTATGTAATTATAGATGCTTCTATTGCAACATTATTTAAGTGGAGACAGTGTACACTGTTTAATGCATTAGCTCAATTCAGTGAATAAGGAAAAAGTATAAATGTGCATGGACTTAACCGTTGCACCAGAATATGGCAGCACATACACACAAGGACACACTCACCAGACAGTTTATTAGATGCACCTTGTTAAAACTGAATTTGCCCACTTTTGCCCTCAGATATAATTTCACAATATCACAGCACAAATTCAACAAGTTGCTGGAAACATTGCTCAGGAATTTTGCTGAGCAATGTTGCTGCAGATTCATGATGTCAGCCTGCCATTCCATCACGTCCCAAATATGCTCTATTGGATTGAGCTGTACCAAATATTCCTCTAAAGCTCGTCTTCTCTTCCTTCCAAAACCATTTAAGATAAGATAAGAAGAACTTAATTTATCCCGAGGGAAATTCTTTTGTCATACACATGCACAATGCAGCAAGAGAGACAGGAAGAGAGTAATAAGATATACAATATGTACAATAGAATACAAGTATACAGTAATATGCATTAGGATAGTGCAAAATATAATATCGAATAACTGTAGCAAGTAACAGTATAACTATATCCTGAAAAATAAATAGCTTAGCTATCAGTGCAGGTGATTGTAAAAGTGACATAGTTTTGTGCAAATGGATACAAGAGTAGCAGCATATGATGGGGAGATGAAACAAACATTCAATGAAAAAACTGTTGGGTGATATAGCACGGTCTGAATGGGAACAGAATAGCTTGTTATTAATCTTCAGGAAAATCACCTACAGAGTGAGGAAGAGTTGTATAATTTTATTGCCTCCGGTACAAAGGATTTTTTTGTGGCCGTCAGTTCTGCATTTCAGGGCAATGAGTCTTTTGCTGCGTGTGCTCCGATGATCCATCATGGAGGCGTGCATGGGGTGGGAGGGGTTGTCCATGATACAAAGAAGCCTTTTTAGCATTCTCCTCTCGGACACCTCCTCTAGGTTCTCCAGTCTGACACCCAGGACAGAACCAGCCTTTTTAATCAGTTTGTTCAGCCTGTTGGCATCGGGAGTCTTCACCCCACTGCCCCAGCACAGCTGCAAAGAACACAACACTCTCTACCACAGAGTGATAGAACATTGTCAGCATTTTCCTACAAACATTAAAGGACCCGCCAAAATAGGAAAGTAATTTTCAACAGTTGTGAAAGTGAAACAGCAGCAGGCCGTGAAGCAGAGGGTAAAAAGGTCCACACCGAGGCTTCAGGAGACCGGGTTCAGCTTCTCACTGAGCTACGATCATCCACATGCACGTGTTTTTATTTTAGTTTCGCTCGCTGCGACAAGGAGTGCTGCTGTTCTGGGGAGGAAGCAGAGCAGGTTCTAGTGGTTTCTACTGTGACCTTCACTAAGGAGGTCACATTTGGAGCGTTGCTGCTGCTGCTGCTCCACAGGTTATTTATGTTGAACTTAACAGACTCGATCAACTCCCTGTAGAAAACAAAACAACAAGAACAACAACAACAAAACATGTATTTTAACATAAAACCATTACAGCATTGAATGAAGGACACATTATGCTGTTTATATTTATCCACATCCACTTAATGACGCATTACAATAGTCCTGCCATTTTTTGTCAGTTGATGGGCCTAGTTTTAGCGGACTATATCAAGTAGAAATAAAACCGTATCATTTAAAAATTAGATCTGCATTATGATTTTAGGATGGCTGTGACTCTAATAGGGCACAAAGCCTTCACTTCTGAGTATTGTAGGAAAGAAGAAAAGGTAATTTTAGTCATTTAAAAATGGGAAATACTGTAAAGTTTAAACATATTTCACCTCAAATAAAGTACAAAAGAAATATTTTGTTTAAAAATTGGAATTACTAATGACGTCTCTGCAGTTTTCACTAGTTTGGACTCCCTTGTGTTGCCATATGTTTGACCTTACACAATACCAATGCCACAATTTACAAACTGATGAGAAATGCAGGAATTTTTGGTGTCTTTGGTAAAAATTCACAAGTTTTCCTACTAAGTAGCAGCCCTGCAGCTGTCATCAGATAAAAAAATGAAATCCTAATGATTGAGTCTTTTTTGGGGGGTTAAATCCACATCTGTGGCAGCCTCCAGCTGCCTGCCTGCAGCCACGTCGTTCCTTTTGCAGCGAGCTGGAAAAAATTCATGAGATATTTCCTGACCTCGAAATGAAGACTCACATGGACAGGGTGGCGTCACCACAGAGATGTACGATATTGGTTTTTGCTTTGCTAATGCACATGTTGCACTCCCAAGACACTCTTCACATAATCCCTCAGGGTCAGCAGGTTTCCTGTCTGAAATAATGAAGCTTAATGAAAGCAACACAACATGCAGTTATTGCTCTAGCTTGTAGTCTTTGTTTCTCAGTGCTTTAGATAAGAGTAGGTACAGCTACTGCAGGAAACCCATCAGGGAACCCGTATCTAACACAGGCTGATGTGTTTCCTGGAGTAGCTGGTCAAACCAAGCTGTCATCACATGAAGAGTGGCTGAGATGTGGATATTTTTAGACTTGATGTCAGTATGTGATGGAGACTCTCAGTATTTTCTATGAAATCAAGTGTGATATGTTTATTAAAACAGTGTGATTAATAAATAAAGCAAAAAAATATAATTATTTGGTAGTGATAAGGTTTTACAGTATATCACAGCATTACTGCATGACTGAGACATTGCAGATGAAATCATCATTATATACAGTCATTAAATATTTGGCACGGGTGCGTTCACACCGAAGGTGAAGCAGGATTTCTCCTTCTGTTATTTGCATGAGTACAGCAGGGTTGCATACCCACGAATATTCAGCCAGTGAGGTAAGGAGGAAAAGCTAAGTCAGGCTGCAGTTGCACATCTTAAAAAGTCCTGTAATCGCACACTTTTCTCTGTAGAGAGCATGTTAGACAGGCTGCCATCCGAGACGGCGCCGGAAGTATCAATTTAAACTTTGTCTCCGATACAAACAGTCATATTGTTTATAGTACATCTGTCATCTCATCTCCTCATGAATCATCATCATTGCTGTTTCATTTACATCTATAAAAGGATAGACTCAGTAATGTGGCGTTTTATAAAGAGTAAAGCCGTTTTTCGGATTTACTGTATAAACAAACACACACACCTTTTGTCACTAACGCTTGGCCTGCTTATTTCTATTAGATCCGTCACTAATGTGTAAATGGCTGTATCAACAGCCAAAGATAAGCTCTGTGTTTACACTGGCTTGAAAAGTGAGAATACGGTATAGTGTGGTTTGTGTTAAAGGGCGATTCTGCTGTGTGTCAACGACCCTGAGAGGCTGCAGTTACTTTATATCAGAGCTCGTGTGTAAAGTGCTTTTAGGTGACGATACTGCTTTGGGGACTTAATCATTGCCTCCTTTCTGTCTTTTCTTTCTATCCCAGGAGAAGAAACGCAGGGATTCTCCCGAGTTTGGAGGATTTGCTTTTCTACACAGTGGCCGAAGGTCAAGAGACGATTCCTGCTCACAAATTTCTCACAGTAAGTCCTTCAGATTCAGTTTGGTCACATACATTCAGAGTTATTATGGTGCACTGCAACTGGGTGTTAGGAGACATGTTACTTAATTGAAATAAATTAATTAAAACATAAAAACTAGAAACCTGCTGGTTGGCTGTAAACTGACATTTTTTCACTCCTAGTATTCATGTGAATATTTCATCCAAACAGTTTTGACTTCTGTGTTAAAAATGTGAAAATATTCACCAAAACTTCTTTGTTTAATTAATTTTAGGCACTGAAAGCCACGGGGCTTCGTTCCGGAGATCCACGACTGAAGGAGTGCATGGAAACACTGAAAGAAACTCTAAAGAAGACTTCAGATGGCGTTACACTGGACAGGCACCTTTTCAAGAAGTGAGGCTGCTCGTTATGGCGTTATTTATTTTTTTATCTCCACCTTTTTCTTCATTTTTTCAAGGAAACTGCACTGACAGCAGCCTCAAAAAGAATTCAGCACATATTGATGGTCGTGTGTTATTAATAAGCAAATTCAAGTATTTGAATTTCCTTATTATATGAGTACAAAAATATATTCATCAAGTGTGAAGTAGGCAGTTGATTGTGCAGAATTAGTTTAGCTTTTCATTCACAGGGCCTGCTCGATCAGTTATTTAACGCTATCAGTTACTCACTTTAAAGCATTCATTTTTCTTCTTTTTAAAAAAAAAAAAAAAAGGATTTCCTTAAAATTAACATATTTAGCAATATTTTGCTGCAGTGAGTGAAAGCCTTCATTTCATTGTAGCATGAGTGAAGATTACGTTTTCTCCGGCTTTCAGGAGGGGTGAAAGCACACCGCTGTAAATAAGGTGGTGCGCTTGATTTGTAACCCAAAGTGAACAGAATGTGAAATTGTGACTGTTTTCTTTGGTCTTTCTAATTGTCAGCCAGAAATTACTGAACATTTTCTTCATGCTTGCAAGCAGCATTAGAAAAACAAGGGAGTTTTTCATTCTCATTTTCGAGTGAGCTACTGTCACCGATGACATATTACCTACTTCAAAGTAGGAATATATTGAAAGAAGGCGCCAGGAGCAGCAATAACAGTGACACAGCACAAGTAAAATGTGAGCACAAAAGTAGCACAGGCAGTGTTTTCCCTGGAAATTTTAAGTAAAAGTAAAAAATAACTGCTTAACAATAACTGAAATAACTTAACCCTTTAACTCGTCAGGTGCTACACAACATTGTCACATAGTGAAAGTGAAAATATTTTCTATCAGGGACAGTTTATTTTGGGTTGAGCTTTTTCAAATTCAAATCAAATTCAAATTTTATTTGTCACGTACACAGTCATACACAGTACGATATGTAGTGAAATGCTTGGACAACTGCTCGTGACCTAAAGAAAACAAAAAAAGGAAAGGCTATGAATAAGATAGGAAATAAATATGAAAAATTAAAAAGGGTAAATTTAACTAGGAAGGAATAAAATATAAATTAAGGTTAAAAATGAAATAACTGTACAACACAAATTAGAATGAAGGGTAAATTTAACTGGGAAAGAATAAGATAAAATATATAAATTAAAGTTGAAAATAAAATAACTGTACAACAAAATACACAATACACAATATAGAACTATATAAGAATGTATGAAGAAATCTAAATATAAATAAATATATACACAATAACAGCAGCTGTACAAGTATTAACTGGAAATGAAGAATATAGTGACCAGTGTTGTGCAAAAACAAAGTCCAGAAAGTCCAGTGTGTGTGTAAGAACCATATGTGTGGGTCAGTACTGTGTGGTGGTGTGATTGAGAGACCGTATCGCCTGCGGGAAGAAGCTCCTCCTCAGTCTCTCTGTGTTGGTCTTCAGGGAGCGGAATCGCTTTCCTGACCTCAACAGAGAGAACAGTCTGTTGTTGGGATGGCTGAGGTCCTTCACGATCTTCCTGGCCTTGGTCCAGCACCGCCTGCTGTAGATTGAGTGCAGGTCAGGGAGCTCGGAGCGGATGGTGCGCTCAGCTGACCGCACAACCCTCTGTAGAGCTCGTCTGTCCTGCATGGTGCTGTTCCCGAACCAGGTTAAGATGTTTCCCGCCAGGATGCTCTCTATGGTGCACGAGTAAAAGTTCCTGAGCACCTTGGAGGGCAGTTGGAAGTCTCTCAAGCGTCTGAGGTGGTAGAGACGCTGTCGGGCCTTTTTCACCACGGAGTTGATGTGACAGGACCATGACAGGTCCTGCGTGATGTGAACTCCGAGGTATTTGAAGCTGTCCACTCTCTCCACTGGGCACTCGTTGATGACGGGGGTCTGGTAGTTCCTCTCCTGCTTAGTGCTGAAGTCCACTATCAGCTCCTTTGTCTTACTGACGTTTAGAAGGAGGTTGTTCCTCTGGCACCAGTTCTCCAGATTCCTAATCTCCTTCAGGTAGGCCGTCTCGTTGTTATCAGAGATCAGGCCCACCACCACGGTGTCGTCAGCAAACTTGATGATGGTGGTGGAGCTGGTAGTGGCCACACAGTCATATGTGTACAAAGAGTACAGCAGGGGGCTCAGAACACACCCCTGGGGGGCTCCAGTGCTGAGAGTGGTGGAGGCTGAGACATGTCCGCCCATCCTTACTGCCTGTGGTCTGCCAGTTAGGAAGTTGGAGATCCACTGACACATAGATGAGCTGAGTCCCAGATGCTCCAGCTTGGTGGTGAGTGTGGAGGGAATTATGGTGTTAAATGCAGAGCTGTAGTCTATGAAGAGCATTTTAACATAATTCCCCCTTCTAGTGTCCAAGTGAGTGAGTGATGTGTGGAGGAGATGAGAGATGGCATCGTCTGTGGAACGATTTGGACGGTAAGCGAACTGTAGTGGGTCCAGTGTGTCTGGTAGTGAAGAAATGATGAAGTCTCTGACCAGGCGTTCAAAGCACTTCATCACTACTGAGGTGAGGGCTACAGGTACAGAGTTAGTATTTTTTTAAGTACTCATAGTATAAATATATACAGATATGTATTAATGTGCAAATTATGTCTTCCAACAAATTGATGTGTTTCATAAACTTACATTTAATCCATTAAAAATATAGGAATGGGTTTGTGGTTTGTGGAAGCCGCCATGTTCCTCCACTATATTTAAATTCAGTGGCTGGGAAGTATATCAAGGTGGAGGAGGAGAGAGGTCGTAGGCGTTCATGTGCTCGTATAGCTCTTTAATTTCTGCCTGCACTTTCAGACTCAAGATATGAAGCATCTTAACTATGTGTTGTTGGGGAAGGGGTCCCATTCGCCAAAGAAACAAAAGCACAAAGGAAACATAACACCGCCAGCATCTTAATAAAATGTTGTCCTCTTCCTCCTCACCTCAAACTCATCTCCTGAAGTCACGTCACTAACACACAAAACGTGCGATGTATGGAACAGCCCTCGTTTATAAGATTTGGGGGTTTGATTCAAACATAATTGTCAGTTAAACTGATCCATCCCAGCTGGCGCTGCTGCTTAGCTTTGGTTACTTCCTTCATGGTTTTACAGTGTGTGAAATCTCTCATTCATCAGTGTGTGCGCTCATGTTGGATCAGGCTCCTTCCAGGACAAAATGAGCTGCTGATCAAACTGTTCTGATGAAGCTTCTTCATCAAACACGTCACAAAAGTTTGTCAGACTTCAGGGTTGCAAACTTTACCTCCAGTTGCATGCAGTCCCGATGTTTTAGCATGCTTTCTGTGATTTATTCATCAGGTGTGTCCAGAGCAACATTGTCCTGCTCACTCAGGCCTTCCGCAAGAAGTTCGTCATCCCAGACTTCCAGTCCTTCACCTCCCATATTGATGAGCTGTATGAGAATGCCAAAAATCTCACTGGAGGGCAGGTGTGTCCTTAGATCCATGGATTTTTCTTTCTCTCTGCATCATGGTTATAATTTAGCCATTACCATCAGTCTCTTCTCAGGTGCAGTCGAAAGTTTGGATCAGTCGAGCCTCGAAGGGAAAAATCTGCCCTCAGACGAGTTAAAGGGATCTTTGAGGCCGCTGTGAGCTAGCTGTCACTTTCGCAGAAGAGTGCAGGATTTTCACTGACAGCATATTTCTGTTTGCGTCATCTGTTTGGCGCTCGCTGTGAAAACTTTCAGGCATTCAAAACAAAGTCAGCAAAGTCATAAAAAGGAGAAATATCGGCTAATATCCCTAAATTAAACGGAAAACTAACAATCTAATAGAGGGCTGTTTACTCCAGCAGGGTTGTAGGAGGGAGGATGTTTGACCTGTTAAACTAAAACAATTTTTAAAAAAGCAGAGGCGAAATTAGTGGCTGTGTTTAGTCAGTTTGCAAACATCCATCTATCAGAAATACAGACTCAGCCCTGGTTATAGTGGTCTGTATTTATAAGGTGTCACATCAGATAAATGACCCGTTCCTTGTTCCTTTGAACAAAGAGGAAATAATCACTAACAAAAGAAAGACTTAAATAAAATATCATGCTAAATTTAAACATCAGTATCGATTCACAATTTCAGTCGCTGCTTCCCTAGCTGTGTTTTCCTGTTTGTAAAAGTCTTCTCTGTAGAAAAATGGCAGCTTCTAAGCCAAACTGGTGCTCTGCTAGACCAGATGAAGACTTTCTTTTTATTTGATAAGAATCTGATCTAATGTTTCCAGCTCATGTTTTTATTCCTGGACTCTTCTAGAGTAGTTTTGCATGATTATTAGTTTAAGGCGATCCTTATATATCTTATATTGGGCCTCTGTGCTAACCTGAAACATTTAAGCCAAGAGTAGAAAGAACTATTTAAAACGGACTCTTTAGAGCTTTTAACTCACAGAAACTACAGGTGTTTGCCGTGTTTAATATGAAACTGTTTTTAAAGGGAGCCTTGTTAGTCTGAATAATAAGAGTGCAGGAAGTGAGCCACTGTCATGATGGTAGCTGAAGGTAAATTAGCATGTTGTCCTAATTTAACTTATTTTGAATGACCGAGGGTGGATTCTTCCTTCTGAGGTTTGTTATTGTGTATTACCAGCTCTGTGTGTGTGCTGTGTGCTGAAGCCTGAGCCTCGGCAGACGTCAGCAGTGTAAGGTGACCTGCCTCCTCTCTCACCTGCCTGCCCTCTCTTTCAGGTTGCAGACTACATTCCTCAGCTGGCCAAGTTCAGCCCCGACCTGTGGGCGGTTTCTCTGTGCACGGTGGACGGGCAGAGGTGAGACGCTGGTAGCACATTAATACTTAATGTTCGCTTAATGGTTCTCACACACTGTTGCTGTGTGAAATCGCCATGTTCAGCTATATGCTGGTTAAATAATAACACAATAATGTTCCAGGAGTGAAGTGAGGAACGCTAACAGGACAGTTTTTACGCATTGTTTTTTATTAAAACCTCAGGAAACCTGGTTAATGATTCTGCGATGGTGCTGTGTTTTACTCTGTCACCTTCATCTTATCTTAAGATTTTTTAAGACCTAAAGAAAGAAGAAGAAACAGAAGTTTCCACAGCAGATCGGTAAATTCTAACTGCTGTTTTTTGATTGGATTTACCTGTTGATATGCAGTCCTGCCCTTAATTGTGGTCACGAGCTGTACAAAGTGACTGAATGAATAAGGTCAAGGATGCAAATACCCGAAATCCTAACATCCTTACTGGAGTCATACTGGGTTAGAATTAGTTGTTAGAGTTGGTGGCACAACCCAAAGAATAGTGATGGTGTTACCTTTGATGTAGTTGCTTTGCAGACTAGGGGACTAGGCCTGTGATGGTGATTAAAACACCAGTAAGATGGAGTTAGACTGTTATCAGGTTGCAGTTAAGCAAAGTCAAGTTGGAGTTTCATGCAAACTGTTTTTGATAAAATTAACTTTAAATCAATGAAAATCGCAAATCTGTTGGTGTCTGCAAAATCAGAAATCAGAAATCCACATTATTTATTTACATTTAGATTCCAGCCAGAACCTCAAAGATCTGAAACGGAATTTCTTCCACAAATAGCGACAAAGCTGCTAAAGGACAGCAATTTAACTGCAGAATGACACCGAACGCTCTTACACAGGAATGTAATCAGAAAACAAGCAGCTGAGTCGAGTTCAGTTGCTTGTATATATGCTCATCTCCAAAGAGATGCTGACATGTTGAGCTCATCGCACAGACTGATTTAGATGAATTGCAACTTGTTGGTAATCTGCGTTTATAAAGTCAACAGCAGTTATCTGCAAGTCTTTACCAATCTGTGAGAGAATGGTTGCTAGGAGACAAGTTGCAGCCCACCAGGGCGACCTATGCAATCACCTTTATGCTCAAACACGGTCACCCAGAGGTTAACTCTGTTGGACAATTAATCTTCAATTGGCATAGCTCCCTGCAGCAGGTCATTGACAGCAGAAATAAATCATTACAGTCACCAGGCAACCGCAGAAAAAAAATTAAGGTGTTATATTACATTATACGTTATAGTACCTGTTTTAGCGCAGTAATCTTTGTGAAGGTCAGTGTTTATATTTCAGAGAAGCATTAGATTAACCAGTTTGTTTGTTTTTTAATTATTATATGGCGGTCCTGGTTCAAGCTGGTTAAAACTGTTGATTCTATCCCACTTGTATTTCCCAGAAAAGACAAAACACGTGTAAAGAAATAACCATTTCTCAGTAACTATGTCAGGAGGCGTTCTGATCACCCTGTTCTCTGATTAGTGCTTGTAAACTTTCATAAAAGTTTGTTTAACAAACCTTGACAGTTGTAAAGATAACGGTTTTGTTTTTACACAGTGTTACTTCAAATTATCGTGCCTTTCCTACAAATTGTGAAACACTCACTGTTTTCATGTATCTGTTCTGGCTTCTTCTTGTCTCTAATCACTGAACCCGCAGCCTGCGGCCTGCTCTGATAACGTCCTATCTTTATGTTTTTGTTGCAGACATACGGTGGGAGACACTAAGGTCCCCTTCTGCATGCAGTCTTGTGTGAAGCCTCTGAAGTATGCCGTCGCCGTGCACGACCACAGCACGGAGTACGTGCACAGTTTCATCGGGAAGGAGCCCAGCGGCCTCCGCTTCAACAAGCTCTTCCTGAATGAAGATGGTGAGTTGTCTTGGACTTTTTATTAAACCTTGTCCTCCAAGTAAAGCGATGAAGAGCTAGTGCAGGGTACAGGAAGTTGGTGGAAGACTTAAGTGGTAGATATGATGCGAGGGTCAGATGTTCTTAAATCACAATGAGTCAGAAATCCAGCGAAGCAGCCCCCTCGCCTGGCCACATGTCTTGGCACTCTACCTTTTTGTAGGGTTAAAAACATGCAGGCCTATGTTGACCCCCTGAATAGGTGTTTTTTTAACAAGTCTGTGTTAGCTGTTTTTTTTACATGCCCAAAAAAGCCAGCAAAAGGGGGCGTGTGTTGCTTTTGTGTGTAGGTGTGTGGAAAAACAGTTCAGCTTATTAAACCTCAGTCACATGGCTAATAAAGACTAAGGGCTTCTTTTATCAGGACGTGCGCTTGCATCTCACTGCGATGCTTGATGGGGGAGGCTATCACGGCCTGCCATCGCTGCTCAGCTAGCTGTAGCATTGGTTAGAACGAGTGTGAGAGCTGTGAGTAGTCAGATGCATTGTGGGAGAACACGTGGTTGGGTTGTTCAAAAATGGGCATTTTGAGAGGAAATGCCAGAATCCCCAGGCTGAGGCTCACACTGCAGACATGTCATGGTCACTTCCTGTGTTCTCCCGCCTTCTGCCAGGGCAGCCCTGCAAGGGGATAATGTTGTGTAAGCAGATCACATGACCACAAGGAAATTCAGGTGATGTAAGCGTTCAAGCTCTTTCAGAGATCTGAGGGAGGAAAGTGCTGGATTTATTTTTCACTATGTCCCTGTCCACGCCTCCACACACTCACACAACATTGTAAACACTGCACTCCTCTACAGTAGTAACAACAATAAGTTTTAAACTTGTCCATACATACAGATGGTTCTCACTGGGCTGTGTGATGTACACAGAGTCCTGACGCTTAGAGTTAGATCATCAGCAGCATACCACAGATACAGCAGCAAGTTGCAACACACTTTGTCAGCCCACCAGCACATTCCTGCATTTACAGCTACACAAACATCAACAAGCGGCCAGTTGCCATCAAACAGTCAGGTTGAAAGTTACACTTTAGATACAGTAGGCCGCACTTTTCTTTACACATTACAGCAAAAATCTGCCCTGTGGGTGGTTTTTAGTAGGCCTGGACTGTTTTTTTTCTTAATCTTTGTTAGTCCACTGTATGAACAACAAAAACTTGCTTATAAACACTTAACAGTAGCATTACATATATATACATATATACACAAAACCTACAGAAGTATAGTTCATTTCTTTCTCAGCTCCTTAGACTACATACATCTGTTTTTTTTGCAAGCTACATAGAGACTTGTTCGGTTTTATACTTCAAATCAGATATTGTGACTGTTTCAGCTGCTACAGCCTCCGCTGTGTTTCTCTGTATTATCTTGAGTCAGTGTTTACTGTGTATGCACTTGACCCTCGTGTTCTGATCTGTGTATATGCACAGCTCTCAGGCCGAATGTTTGCACTTTGATCCTTCGTAGCACGCTAACGGAGCTCTCGTTGTTTTGCAGATAAGCCGCACAACCCGATGGTGAATGCTGGCGCTATTGTTTGTACTTCACTCATAAAGGTAAAAGCAGTCACACTTCGTCCTCCTCCTCTGTGTGTTTGTGTTCGTTTACGTCCAGTCTGTGTGTCACTTCCTCTCAAACCTCAGAAAATTCCTTGTAATGTGGGCGTCACTGAGCTGCTTTATCAGTGAGGTAAAATGAGGGGTAATGTAAGGCTGTGGGTCTGGGGGTTAATTAACCTGCTTTTAATGATTTACCTGCCATTTCCTGACTTATTTAACTGATTCTTGTGAAACTCATGATTTTCTTTCCACTGTGTTCTCGTGTTTACGACTGACTCAGTTCGAGGTATTTGTAAGTTACTGCCCTTAGGCGTGTGTCCTGTTGTGGTGATTAAAAGTCTCGTTAATCCCTCCTGAAGGACACTTAGCTGCTCCAGCTCACACGCTTCAACCACACAGACTAAAAATAACCTGCACGGAGAGCAAGCACAGGTTAAAATGCACACCTTCAGATTTTATCTCAGCCTTAACGTAGATTCAGTAAGTTTTCTGGTGAGAGATCAAACCAGCTGCAGCTCACAGTCTGACCCCCCAAACAAAGGAGATATTAAACCTGGCTTAAATGCCAGCTTTGTCATAGGCTTTTCCTCTGGCAGAGTTACATTTAAAAACACTTTAAAGCCTTTCAAGTAGATGTTTGACCCCCCTTTATTGTGTCATGACTCACTTTAACGATCGATTGCTGCAGCTTTTTCTGGAGGTGACCTATTTTTTTCTGTCCCCAGCACTTAGACTTTATCCTGTATGACTAATGAAGTGATTCATCCCAGCTGCATTGATATATTGCCAAAGCTTCAAGGTGTTACTTTTAGTTTTTGTTGGACTTGAGTGGAAGCAGTCCAGAGAAGGAAGCTCTTCAGAGTGATTTGGATCTTTTTGTATTTAAAGGTAGCTCAGGTCTGTGTGTTTTCAGTGACCACATGTTATTGTAACATTGTTCATTTGATCTTTTTTTTCTATTTGTGCTTCTTGTTCATTTTCACCCTGCAGATGAACCGTTTTTAAAGTGACTACACTTTGCCTCGTGCTCTGTTAGCGTCACATTAGAGGGACGTTTATCACGCAGCTTTTGCGTCGCGATTGAAAAACAGCAGCTGAGCAAAGGGGAGTGCAGACTCTTAACACTCCTAATTTAAATCAAAGCAGAGGACAAAATTAGTTTAAACAGAGACAGCAGCAGGCTCATTTACAAAAATGCTTTTAGACTAAACGCTGTCTTCTCTCCGGTCCTTTGGTCCCGAACTGAAATAAGGCAGGACTCCACGTTTACGACAAAAATAGTAATCACGTTTATTTAGTGAAATTTAAAAAAATGTCTTTTTACAGGGGTATGAATTTTAAATTTAAGTCAAATGAAAACAAATAAACGCAGGGACAAAAGAGGCGGAGAAGGTGAAGTGACACACGGTCATCACATTAGGGAGTTTAGGTGAGTATCTGGGAGACCTGCATGGTAGACGAGCAGAAAGCAAAGAAGAACCGATGGAAAAACCACAGACTTTTTGAACTTTTGAAACAATAAACTTTGCACTGTATTGTAAAATCGTGATTTTAATTAGATTTTGATTAATTGCACTGCAACCCAGAGGCAAAGGCAACTACAGGAAATGTTAATCCCTCTAAACCATTAATAATCTGACCTTTACTTTCTGTAGATGGATGACCAAACATTTGTTCCAACTCTGCTTTATTTGAATTTAATTGCATGACTTTGTGCTTTTAAAGAAAAGGTAGAAAAAGGGAAGAGCTTGGTTTATAACAAAATAAGAGCATCGCAGTAAAAATGAACGAAAAGAAGCTAAAATGAAAACTGAAACATTCGAGAGAGCAGATGCAAGAGTAACAGTCACAAAAATCAGTCATCAGATGGACGAACGCCTGCATGTCATTTTAAATGTTTGAATGATATAAAATAAATCTGCAGATAATCGACTGCTCTGTGTTTCAGTTCAATGACCCTGGTGTTATTGTTGTGTTTCACTCTCTGCTCTTATCAGCTTTGTTTTTAGCTGCAGGAGGAGGTAGAGCAGGAAACCCTGTGATAAAAGCAATCCACAGCTTTTAGCATCAAGAGCTGGATCGTTTTTCTCAGGACCAAAACAAACTGTTTGTTTTGCAGGCAGTTTATCATTCATGTGTCAGAGTCACTAAATGCTTCCTACTGAGCTGGAGTCTGGACATGTTTAGGTTAGCCAAAACACTCTTAAACCAGGGAAAAATAGGCTGCACTGATTCTCAATTAAATTTTGGCAATAAAAGCCTCCACACATTGTATTTTGACACCTCTGTTATGTTTAAACTGTAAAGCACGGACAGAGACACCCATCAGACCCATTAAACTGCTTCAAAAGTTTGAATTTGCACCAAAATCAGGACTAAATTTTTTTTTCTCACTACAGTTTATCCTTACTGTCATGTGACATTACAGCTTTACTAACACCATCAACCCAGTCATGCAAAGCTCTCACACGGGATTTCTTTGAGAAGTCAGAAAGTAATCAGGAATACAAGTAAATAACAATAATTTGGCATCTTAATAAAAAAAATCTTCTTTACTATTTTCTCTTTTTTTTTTCCCTTTCTTTTTTTTTAAATAATAAGTTCAAAAATTTATGGATAACGATAATAATTATATTTTATCACTAAAATACAGTTTAGATTAAAGAGCTTTCACATACAGGTGGATTAACAATTACAGAAACATAAAGAATCATTTAGATAATTATAATACTGTTAATTGAGGGCAGCTGTGGGTTCCAGCTTACATTGGGTTTAAGCCACAAATTTATTATTTTTTTTAAAAGTAAAGTGCTGAATATTATGCATAAAAACTGTTTTAAAAAAAGATGAACTTAAACATTTGGAGTCAGAAGTTACCAGACTTGAACAGGAGCATAAACTGTATGGGTGCAGTGCACAGATAGCTGCTAACCGCTGAATAACATTCAAATAAAATCCTCTAATTTCACTCATCTAAACTGCACCATCCTTCCTGGATGGTCTGTTAGTACAATTAACTGCTCAGCCGCCATTTTTATTTGAATTAAAGAGACTCCAAGAGCACAAACACAGGCTGAGGTGAAGCCTGGGAGACGACTTGCTTATATCAGGCTCCGAACATTATTCCTGCTGTAAAGTTGATTTAACGCGGAAGTCTGCAGGGACTGGCTCGCTGCTTGAGTCGGCCTCAAGTGGACGTTAGTGGAACTGCAGATTTTAACGCTTCAACACCGGCTTGGTTGAACTCGCTGCTTCTTGAATCATAAAACTTTTACTGAACATGTCTGGACTCCGGCTCTGCAGGCACGCTCGAGTTAACATTAACCTCACTAAAGTCTGAGCTGATCAGGTTCTGTGTTTTTGAACCACCATGTGATACAAAGAGGACTTCCTTAGACGCTCACAGCCGTCAGACAGGTTCAGTCACAGCTTTCTTACTAATTAATGATGCAGTTTGAAGTCCTCAGGCCTTAAACTCAAACTCAGAACATGTGTCTGTGTCCACATTGGCTCATCAGTGTCTCTTTTTTTTAAATGTGTTGCTTTTGATTTTGATTTTAACTGTAAAGCCGTTGGTGAGGTTGCACAGTTAGCCTTTAACCTTCGGTGGGGAAACCCGCCGTAAGGAGCTTGCCGTGGCAGTATGCCCCCAAACTGTTGTTACATGCTGCTTGAAGGCTACATGTTGTTGCTGTTTTTGTATGTTGCATATTTTGCAGACTTAGGAACTGTGGGAAATAATGACTGCAGCAGCAGGTCAAATGACGTTGGTAATTTTTTCTTCCTTTTCCATATCTATCTCCTCATTCTCTCCCACTTCCCCTGATCCTCTTCCTCTCCCTTCTCTCTATTTTTTTTATTCTCCTCCAATCAGCTCTGTAGAAACCTCATGTAGTGACTCTTTAACATCTCCATCAGTGCCACAGTTTTAAAACTCTACAAGTAAAGTTAAAACTGGTGCTACAGCACTTTAAATGTGCATGTGTGGCCATGTTCTTTTGTTTTGTTTTTCCTTTGCTGTGTTTTCTCTGCGGGACATCAGCGAGCTACAAGCTGTGACGAAGGCCAAACCTCCCTCCCTCTTCACCTCAAATATACACACACTCACACACCTGCACAGTGTTAACTTATAATACACACCTGCCTGCATACACCCACATCTTGCAGACTTACTGTAGAAACATGCACACAGTCAGGAATGTCATACATATTAAAAACAGGTTTGACTGTTTGGATTGGAATCAGTGAGATGTCATGAACACGTCTGCTAAGTCTCCCTTCAAACTTCCCTCTTTGTAATCTATCCACAAACTGATCGCATTAATAGTTTGTTGAACTCTTGGCAAAGCTCGTGTGATTTTTACACTTTATTTGTAATCAGATCTGTTCATGCCTGCTAATTATGTAAATCTAGTTGGTCAGAATTATCATTTATCATTTTATAAAATCTTTTGTGATGTGCTTTATCCTCTGAGATTTCTCTCTATAAATGAACCGTGCTAACGACTCTTTATTTTGTTTTCTCCGCAGCAAAGTGTAAGCAACGCAGAGAAATTTGACTATGTGAGTATTGGTCAGAGCTCTGACCCACAAGTATTTAAAGTTCATTTATATTTTCTTTGTCAAGGTGTGATTCGTTCATCTAACAACGTCATAACCTGATGTTAAAATGTGAAATAAATCTTCTTGGACACTTTATTAGGTACACCTTTTCAAAGCACAACTCTCTAATCAGCCGGTCTGCTTCGAGCTGATGCATCAATATAGAACAGTAGCTCAAATAACACTTACAGTTACAACCAAAGTATGCAGAAGAGCATCTCTGAGCCTTGAACCAGCTTAACCAGCTCAGCTACTGCAGTGGAAAACCACACCGGGTATAACTTCTGTCAGCTAAGAACAGGAAACTGAGGGTACACTTCACACAGACTCACCAAAACTGGATATACCAGATTGGAAAAATGTTGCCAGGTCTGACGAGATAAGACTCTATTTCTGCTGTGGCAGTCAGACGATAGGGTCAGCTGTGGGATGTGGTAGAATGGGAGATTCACATTATGTATGTACAGCTGATAAATCTGCAGTAACTGTGTGATGCCATCAAGTCAACATGGACAAAAATCTCTTGTTGAATCTATGACATGATAAATAATGGCAGAGCTGAAGGTGTACCTAATAAAATGACCAGTGGATGTATAAAAGCGACATTGCTCATTTGTTTCAGACTCCTCATTTTGAAGGGTCAACCTGAGCATTCGCTGCCACCAGTGTTGGTCAAGTTACTTGAAAAAAGTAATCAGTAACTAATTACTGATTACTTCCCCCAAAAAGTAATCTCGTTACTTTACTGATTACTTATCTCCAAAAGTAATTAATTACTTAGTTACTTAGTTACCTTTTAAAAACACAATTTACAACCTGAAGAGGTGATAAAGCGATATATCTTTCAGCCCAATTCTACTTTTTCTACATAATCCATCATACAAAATGTAATCAAATGGAAAAGTCTCTTTTTTTTAACTTGTTTTATCAGTTTTAATCTTTTAACTTTATGCATCAAGCAAAAATTTAATTATATGCAACATTCTCTGACTTGAATAAATTAGTTTAACATTTAAACCTATTTTCTGCACATTCCAGCACATAAAATAAAATATTTTTTGGGTTTACACTCAGTCTTTCAAATAGATGCAAGTAAAAAACAGCAGAAAATAAATAAAGTCAAAGACTCAGCGGTCCTGTTGCTCTATTTTCACCTGTAAAGCAGGACTGCGGTAGGCGGAAATTTACCCTGGTGTAGGTGTGCCGCGGTCAGTTGAAGAATCCGCGAGTGTCTCTGTGAATTTCCCATTACGTCGTTGCGCACTCGGTGCTTGCTTGGAAGTTTAGGGGTTTTTTCGCTGTAAAAAGAAGTTTTCTTCCCACGCACAACGGACGCTAATGTTTTTGTCACTTTTTACGGAATCAAACTCAAAGTAAGGTCAGTACTTCCACGCTTTAAACGCTGCACGCTCATACTCTCTCCCACAATCGATATGTGATCCATTGTTGATCTGCACACAGCTGTTGTCACCAACGGCGCACTCGCTTACGTCACTGTCGTGAGACATTCTCGCAAAAAAACTCACGGTTTTAGTAACGCGGCGTTCCTACGGGAAAGTAACGGTAATCTAATTACCGATTTTGCAATAGTAATCCCTTACTTTACTCGTTACTTGAAAAAAGTAACGCGTTACTGCCCATCTCTGGCTGCCACTGTGTTGGTTTTTCTTGTAGCCATTATTTGAGAGGCTGGTGAGCACCCTCAGCACCCCTCCTCCTCATAAATGTTTTTATTGGTGCAGTCAATGCTCTCGTGTAGGAAAGAGTCAGTACTCGTGAAAGCAAACATTGAATTTTCTCTTGAGGTTTAATTATCTGCACCTCTGTGTGTGTTGAATAGGTTTAGAGGGACTCTTGATGTTTTATATGTGCTGTTTAGCTGGCAGCTCTTATCATTTGTAGTGTTTGACCTCCATACATGAACCTCTGGATCATTTTTTCATCTCTACTCTCCTCCTGCTTTCCCTCCAGGTCATGAACTTTCTGAAAAAGATGGCGGGAAACGAGTATGTGGGTTTCAGCAACGCCACGTAAGTCCTCCCTCCACATCGCCTCCTTAAAATCACCCAAGTTTACTTATCCTTGCCCTGCAAACCCCCGAACCGAGCTGACCTAAACACCACCGCAATAACCTTCACAGGCTCATTACAGGAAGCATAAACTGTGAAAAACACCTTAATTAACTGGGATCAAATTAACAAGCACACAGGCCATGTTTTAAATGGCTTATGTTCACGAGAAGTCAGATATAAGCAGGACTGTCTTATAATACCTGCTCAGAACAACAACAATAATAATTAATCGTGTAAAAAAAAAACCTTTTCTTTATACAAAAAGGCTGAAAATTGTTTACAGAAACATCATTTTGGTCCTCAGTGACCCACATCTGTTGTGTGCTGAGGACTTCCACAGGTGCTGATGAGGTTTTAAAGGTTTGCATGATTTATGACGGCTCGTGTTGCAGTGTCATCACATGATTGCGTGAGCTGTGGTTATGTTGTACACATGAAGGCCGAGGTCTGTGAATACCAGCACAGCACTGAAATAACACACACACGCTACCTTCATCTGTAATGGGAGTGCTCTTCTTTGTGTGACAGATTCCAGTCTGAGCGTGAGTCAGGAGACAGGAACTTCGCCATCGGCTACTACCTGAAAGAAAAAAAGGTTTGTCTTTGTGATTCTCCTCTCTGAAAACCTGGAGAGAATTTAGAGTTTAAACTATTCGGGCCTCACGTTTCTGCTTATTTTGCCACTGAAGCTTGAAAGTTTACAGCCAGCAGCTCAGCATGTAATGCTTCTCGCCCCTTAACTACGTTCATGCATAAATGAGAAAAATCTGCATATTTTTGATTCAGCTGATTGTAACCCTCCTGATTTGCCTTTTGGTAGGAGTCAGCTAAGACCCCTGAGACTTTTTTTAAACGTATGAATGGAAAAACTGCAGCATCAGTTTAGAACAGAAAAAACCTGGTGGTGTTGTTCTTATCTAGGACACAGCAGCCTGGTTTTTGCCGGGATCACAGATCAGTAACATAAATACAATCAAACAAGGTGAGCCATGTTCTGGCCGAGCTCCTCGTTTGATTAGCGCGAGTGCTGCAAGTTCAGCTGGACTTTCCCAGAAATAAACTCATCTGCAGATGCAAGACAGCAAGAAAGACGTCAGTCAGTCACCGTGTGTCCAAGTCCATGTGTTTCTGAGGAAAGAACAAGATTAAAAGAGTTTTGGGGGGGTTTTTCCTGTGAAGAAAACAACAGTTATTCTTTGAAACAGTAAACCTTTGATCAGGTGGTCTGGTGTAAAACAAGTCTTTAATGGGGCTGACGGCACTCGTAAGCTGTGACGGATCAAAGATGATGGAGAGATGATGGATGCATATTAGAGGAAGTGGAGACTGTGAAACACATATTTAAAGGGTTTCAGCCCTTTGGCTCTTGTACCTGATGCTTTCAAGTCTCTTCAGCATGAGAGCATGGTTATTAAATGTTTTTTTTTCTCCTCTCTGCAGTGTTTCCCAGAGGGGACAGACATGACCTCTGTACTGGACTTGTACTTTCAAGTGAGTGTAACTTTAGCTTCTTCCAGTATTTATACATTTTTAATGAGAGGATATCATTAGATTGTTTTCCTGCTTCATTGCTGAGCTGCTTCCTGCTATTGATTTTTATCCTCAAGAGTAAAGCTTCCTGACCAGTTGTTTCCACCACTTCTTTCAGCTTCTTTCTGTGTGATACATACATAGTTTCCTGACTACACACAGATGGTTTTACCTCTATATGCTGTTCCAGTATCTCCCAAACCAATCAGATGGATTTATTTCCATCATTTCCACCCTTTACTTTCACTTTTCTGTCACCTCGTTTTGTAAATCAAGCTGCAGTAACAGAGTTATTGTCTCTGCCTCTCCAGCTCTGCTCCATTGAGGTGACATGTGAGAGTGCCAGTGTCATGGCGGCCACCCTGGCCAACGGGGGTATCTGCCCAATCACGGGCGAGCGCGTGCTGAACCCAGAGGCGGTGAGGAACACGCTGAGTCTGATGCACTCCTGTGGCATGTACGACTTCTCAGGGCAGTTTGCTTTCCATGTGAGTGAAACACAACACGGGTTACTGGTGTTTTGATTTATTAACTGTTTGTATTTTCAGAATTTTTAATTAGACTTGGAACGATGATTGTTAAAACTGCAGGAATATGCAATTTATTAAACAGCAGTGCCTAAAAATAGTTCAGTGCTTCAACAAGCAGACAGTAGCACTACAGGTGATTTAAAAAAAATATAACAGTGAACAAAAACCTTAAAGAAAGCACTGCAGATATTAAACAAAATAAGAGATGATGTCGAGGAGACAAGGCTTCATCAGGTGCAATGATCATCTAAACTGAGAGCAAACAGGGAAAAAAGTTTGAGTGTTTGTCCTTAAAAATGGACATAAGTGTTCTGGAGACATACTCAAGATGTGGATCCAAAATAAATAGTTTATAGCTGATGATATTAAACTAAAAAAACAAATTCATGAAGCTCAGGTGAAGTTTTTTCACACTTGTTTTCTTACGGAGTTTAGCATATTGTGGAGCTAACGTTCTTTTTTGAAGCATGGGTTGTTGTTTTCGGACAGTTTTGTCTTTAAACATTTCTGGTGCAACCAACAATTCAAAATGTAACTAAGCTTCCTCTGGTGATAATCCAGCTCTGCATAAGCATGACATTCAAAATCCATCCCAGTTAAAACTGTTAAACATAATGAGATGTCTTTTGTTACTTTTAAAAAGCACCACAATTGTATTAATACTGTTAATACAGTGTTTACTGTATTAACAACCCTCAACCGAAGGGCCCATGTGATTGGATATCAGATTTTAAAGTCGTGATAGTGTTAGATTATCTGTGTTAGGTAGTTTTAACCATATGAATTCTCACATTAAACCACAGCTAGAGTATCTCAGAGGAAATGATCAATAAACGAGGCACAACGACTTTCATCCTGAGTCGGTGGGAAATGGATTTCTGGACTCTGAAACTGAACAGAAAAACGAAGGCACTGTTGCTTTGGATCTGACACAAAAAATCTAAATAACTCTTAGGGATTTCTGAGAATATTCAGTGTATCGTGAGATTTACCATCGCTGTGTTGATGTACTTTGTCACCGTCGTGCTGCTTCTGCACACACAGCCAGCCTTTCTGTAACTGCTTTGTTTCCCTGCTGCAGGTCGGCCTGCCTGCCAAGTCTGGCGTATCAGGAGGGATCCTGCTGGTTGTGCCCAACGTGATGGGCATCATGTGCTGGTCGCCTCCGCTCGACAAGCTGGGCAACTCGGTCAGAGGGATCCAGTTCTGCACGGTACGTGATGCCCAGAGAATAAACACTCCGCCTCGAGACAATATTGCACCTCCTTGTTTATTAACTTAAATATTTTACAGCAGCAGAAGGAGCAGAATTGCTTTTAGGAGCTGAAAGTGGCCTTTCATTGCAGGGATGCTCTTTCCCATTAGTGTGGTTCATATTCGAATTCGAATGAGCACCCCGGCTACTTTGCATTGAAGTCTAAGCAGCAGTCATTTTAGATCAGACCCAAAACATTAGCAGAGTCTGAACCGCTCAGCGTCACATTAACACACACAAGATGTAAGACTTCACTTTTAATTTTAATTGAATTTTGTTTACGTTTTTGTTTTCTTTTCATTCATCCATCATCTCTTTTGTTTACCTAGTCCAGGGTTGTGGCAGGGCTGGAGTTTCCCACCTCTCACTGGGTGGCAAGACACCATTTTAGCTTTTCTCAGCTGCTTTGTTAGTTTTAGTCTTTCTCTCTTTGTATTTCAGGACCTGGTGGAGCTTTTCAACTTCCACAACTACGACAATCTGAGGCACTTCACCAAGAAGCACGACCCTCGCAGAGAAGGAGGCGACCAGCGGGTAAGGACAAACGTCGCCTCGTCAGGCTCATGTGACAGCACACCTCTCCAGCAGCTTCCTGTAGTCTCAGCTGTTTGCACTGACCTCCATAACTGCACGCACAGTAGCCCCTAAACTGTCCCTGTTCCTCCTTCGGGTGGAAAAGCTGCATAAAGTGAGTGGAGTATATTCGTTTACTGCATATATTTAACATACAAGGAGCCAAATCTTGAGTTAAAAGACACCTGGAGCCAAACTCAGTCTGATCGTTCAGAACATGTCTGGTAGATGATGCAGTGTTTCCCTCACATTTTACATTCAGAGTGCCCAGAACCTTTTTCTGAGGAAACTAAAGTATTTCTTCAGACCGTAGCGTGCACTTCCACAATGGCGAGCACTGGTGAAGCTTTTTTCCGTTACTCTGCTGACGTAGCTGCGGCTTTTTCCATCATGTGACTTTATAAAAACTGGGGTCCAGGGTGCATCCAGGCTTTCGCCATCTCTACTTTCTGTTTAAGCAAGTAAACACAAATGGGTTGAAATGATCAAAAATTAATGTTCTCTTTTTCTGATTAACCACCGTGGTTTTTTTAAAAGCTCTAGCTCGCTTCCTCAGTACGACTAAAGAACTAAACAATAAAATGCTTAAAAAAAGAAACAAGCAGCGAGCATGTCGGATGATGTGAACCAGGTGTAATAACGGCAGGATTTCGTCAACTCTAAAAATCTGAAAGAAAACTGTTTTGCTCAGGTGGATGGTCACTTAGTGTCCTAAGTGTGTAGTCCTGAGTCACCTGAGCTACAAATGTAAAAGTGGAAAAAGAGGATTTTGTGGACAGATTTGTTTGCTGAGTTACTGACTTACTGCATAATCTGCTGCTGGACTTTAATCACAATCTATTGATTAGATAGAATCTAATCTATTGTATAAAAATACTACTTTTAAAGTTTCTATAATGCTATATGTCAAATTTACTTTATTTATTATGCCAGCTCTTTTACTTTGATTCCTTCTGCTAATGCAGGCGCAGAGCTTTATAGCTACTCTGTGTCAGAGCCAGCGTAAATATGCTAACTTATTGTTACATTTTGTTGGTAATAACAACAAAAATGTAAACAATTTTAGTTTTATTAATGCAAAAACGAAGAAGAAGAAAGCGTGGTCTTACTGTGATGAAAATGCCCCGCTGCAGAGTCACATGTGGTTAAAGATTTAAATTAACACCTGCTGTTGAGCTGTGTTTCGGTTACTATAGGGCCTAAAAGTGTTTTATAGCTCTATAAACAAAGATGTCTGACCCCTGGTAGGGATATAAGTTGTCAATATGAGCAAGCAGGTGTGTTGTGTTATTACATTATGCAGTATTGTCGGTATATAGTGCTCCATTAACACTACTGAATGTGTGGGAAACACTGTGAAAACTGATGGCTCCATTTTACTTCCAAGTGTTGCAGCGATCCACCCAGCACATAAACGCAGGCAGAAACGGAGATTTGAGACTAATTTATTATCCGTGTCAATGACAGCAGCAGACCTTCGGACCTATGGATTACGAGAGCCTCCAGCAGGAGCTGGCTCTGAAAGCCCCTCTTTGGAAAAAGGTGTCCCCCGCTGAGTCGAACGAGGACAGCTCCACCACTGTAGTCTATAGGATGGACAAAGTCATCGAGTGAAACTTTTAAAACAAACAAACAAACAAAAACAGACGCCCCCACCTCGCCTGATCTCCCAACAACGCGACGGCATCGTCTCCTCACCCTCATATTTATGTATAAATTATGTAGAGGATTATTTATTGCTGGTGAATCGGTTACTAGGAAACTTGTTTTTGATTTTGTCTGTGCTGGAAAAATGGGATCAGCTTATTATTATTATTATTATTATTATTATTATTATTATTATTATTATGAACTCCAAATGACCTCCATTTGCTTCGTTGCCTTAGCGACGTGACAAGGATCTGATGTGTAACGTACGCACTTCGCTCTCGTTTTATCTCAACACACTTTTATCTTTATTTTCTTCTTCATCACGTCAGAGTTTTCTTTTTAACAATGTCAGCTAACGCTGCGTTCACTCTACGACCCAAAACAACAGCTGCTTGAGAGTAAACACTGACTTTAAATTTAGGGGTGTGTTACGAGTGATTAAATGAATATTTTAGCCGTGATTGATATGTTTTATTTTCCTGGTTATTATTATTATTATTATTTTTTTCCCACTTTTGTGACATTTGGCTCCTCGATTTAAAATATAGATGAAGAACATTAACAAATGTCATTCACAAGTGTTGCGTTATTTTGCAGATCTTTGTGTTTTCTGTTAAAATAATACTTGATTTGTGCCTGCTTCCATTTCTTTGACATTAACTCGACTATGAAACAGACAGAAGTCGTGAGGACTTTCAGCTCGAGTTGAGTTTGTTTGTGTTTGATGATGTGGTTGATACTAACAGAGGGCAGTTTTCTCGCAGTCAGGTGACAAAAGCATTGGGCTGTTCCTTAGGTTTGACTTGTTTGCCTGCAGCTTCCTGACATGCTTCTGAATTCTGAGGAAGGAAAGGCGAGTAAAGTCAGTCGTGTAGGTTCAGTTAAAGTCTCTCGTGGCTTCATACAACCATTAACTCCCTTGCACAGCTCACAAAAGTATGCAAACACGATGTCTCCATGTAGAAATAAATCTGCTAAATGTGAATGCAGCATTTATTTACTACAAAGGTGACGATTCATGTCCCTCACCTGAAATTGCGTCGGAAGTTCTGCGAGCAGATGGAGCTGGCACTTCCAGAAAAAAATCAGACGTACTAACCGTGGATGAACTTAATCTGAGGCTTTTATCTGCTCTAGTCCAGTTACAGGATAAAGTCATCAAATAAAACCCTTTTTCTCAGCCACAGTTCATTTCAGTGATGACCAAAGCGATTATCGAGTCAAACACGAGCCTGCTGGGTGTGCGAGTGAGCTGTTAACCAAAAAAATACAGCATGGCTAGCTTCACACGTGGAGTTGTTTCCATAAGCAGCAGGTCAGTGAGAAACAGCTGAAGGAGAACGGATCACATGTTGGATGTGCCGTCACATGCCATTATTTATGTTTGCATTGAGTTACCGCTGTTGTGCCATGATGCTTTTACTGTGTGAGACTGCAGGAATTTATGAAAGTCAAAGGAAACAATCCGACTAAAAGCCGTCTGTGCACAGCAGTTTCTGCAGAACTCCACCTGCAGATCAGATTGTAAGACTCTATCTCACTACACTCTTGCCAGATTCTCATTAATAGACACAAAATAAGTTTCTGTGCACTACAGTTTCATGAGGGACCGGCACTTGTGCAGAAATGGGGCTAAAATCCTGAAACACTGCAGCCCCATCAGCTCACCTGTGCCCGTAACACATCCATGGCTTTTACATGAATCATGTAGCGAGCAACTATTCCCTCCCTCTGACTTCCCGTGTTGTGTTTTACTCTATTACATCAAAGTACCAGAATTACTAGTATTAGTACAATTACTGTTGACCAGAAATACGCTGAGCTCAGCTCGAAAGGTTCCTGCTGAAGTTTTAGTTCTGAACTAACATCCACCTTTCTGATAACCTCTCCGCCTGGCTGTCCAAGTACATTAATGCTCCCAGCAACCCGTCAGGTGCAGGATGAAACATGATTTTTGTGTTTGTGTGGCTTAAACAGCAGTAAGCCACCTGCCACAAACTTGAAGAAATCATGTTAATTAAAACCAGATCCGTTAATCAGCAAAAACAGCTGAGTGCAGGTTTTGGTGGGTCTCTTCAGTAAATCCTGACTGCAGGATGGTTAGTGAGTCTGGCCCTTTCAGTTTTAGAAGCTTTAGTCTGCTGAGGAGCTGCTCTTCTCTATATATGTCACTGAAAACTTTGTTTAAAATAAAAAAATTCATAAATCTGTAGAAAAGAGGTGTTAACCGGTGTGTGTCGATGTTCCAGCTCGAGGAACAACGTTCAGTGTTGTTTGGGAAGTTTTCAGAGTCTTAGTCTCATCAGTTTAGGCAACATTTCTTATTTCTGGATGTTCGTAGCAGCAGGCGTGTGTAGCTATCAGCTGTGCATCTGCACACGAGTGATCTTCAGCTGCAGACCAAAGAGTGTGTTTGAATTTTTACTTCAGACGTTCCGGGTTTATCTCACGAGCTCCTCTGTAAATATAAGTACTTGCACATAAATGTCGCGCCAGCGGATGCCTTAGTTTCTCTGCACCGTGAAGCAGGAGGAGGTGTGTGTTTATTAATCACTGTTGAAACTGAACATGTGTTTGTAGGTTTGAGCTCAGAGCGATGCTGCTGGAGCCGTTACCACCATGTTTTTGTTTTTTTTCCTTTTTTGTTAAACTTCTGCTGGTCATGTGGGTGTTACAGGTGAAACGTATTCAAAAGCCTCAGTCATCATCAGTGTTGCTGGATTATTATAATCTGAAGATTATTATCACATAAAAAAGTTATTTTCTCGTGTAGTGATCAAATGTATGAACGCTTAAATGAACTCCCCCGCATGTGTTGTTGGTTGTGAAGTTCGCTGTTCGACTGATTTTGCTGATTTTAGCTGAATTGTTAGTTATGAAAAATTGACACTGCGTTTAAAATGCAAATTATTATAAAGAGATTTTTAAAAAATATATAATTGCCAAACAATTAGAGAAAATTATGATGTAGCTGCACTTTATTTTTATTTTTTTAGTAAAACTATTGAATGTACAAACTCTTGAGTCACTGGAAAACCGATCTAATGAGGAGGCGATGCGTATGCCGGTTTAGGCTACACAGATCCTGGGTGCTGAGCATACGGAGATAAAAATACTGTGTAGCTTGAACCCGGTTTAACGTACAAAGCTCATTTTATTCCCATTTAAATCAACCATATGTGCAGAGTTTTTCCAGAGTGCGTGACTTTTACGAGCAACCAACCACTCGCTTGTTTTACTTCCCTCACATGTGAGCGAGGCCTTTACCATAACAACAGTTCCCTTTTTTTGTTTTTATGGACGTTTCATTA